AAGCCGTGATTAACCCAGGCAATAGGAAGGCTTCAAAGAAGCTACGAAACAACCACGGGGCTCCAAAATTGGGCTGACATATCTTGTTTTGCTTCCCAGCAGTCTTTGTCCAAGCACGGACTATGGAAAACCTTTCTGAGCCTGAGAGCTCACATGAGATCTCAGCCTGAGGTGATTCGATCGCAGACAGCGCTATGGCTGCAGGCAAAATTTTAAGCTGGAAGCTGGAAGAGAGTGTGTTCAAGGGTGGCTTTTGGCAGCTGTACAGAAACGGGGGTCGGCACATGGGAACAAGTGTTCCCGCGCTTTGGCAGGAGAGGGAAATGTAGGTGACAGCTGCGAAGTGCGTTCTACGGGACTTGAGCAGCAAGAGCACTGCAGCCACCACAGTAAGCCAAAAGGCGCGATGGTGACAGCGCTGCCCGGGGCGTCGCGTTCCGACCCAGCACTGAAGAGTCGCCGGGGGCTCAGGTGGCCAGTGCACTGACTGGGCACTTGCACCGAGCTCCAAGCAGGGAAACCACCTCTGCCAGGGCTCTGAGCCCTCTTTCTGCATCCTGCAGGGTCTTCCCATTTCATGGATACGCTCCTTTTGTCAGGGACGCAGAACCTCTGACTTGGAAGCATTAAGGCATTAGCATTTACAGGAGCAGCTGCAAAAGAGAAACGGGAGCGTGATTTACAAGTTGTAGAAATATTCTGGCTCTCGATCTCTCTTTCCTATTGTAGCTTTAATCATTAAAAGATCATATTTATGGCTTTTGGAGCTGGCAAACCATGTTTTTCACTTGTTTCAATGCAAAAAAAGTTGTTATTTTGGAACATTGCGGGGGGTGGTGAAATTTCTTATTGCTTTTTAATTTCTGAAATCCCATTAAGGTGTCTGTTCCTTTAATTAATCTTGCTATATTGGAGGGGCACTCGTACTGTGCTGACAGCTCTCTGAATACCCAGTGGCAAATATATTTGGGGTACCAAAGCAGAACAAATGCAGGCGGCTGCAACTCTTTCCCAAGGGCCTGGGACAGCCTGGTGCCCTCTGGGTCAGTGTCAGAGGAGGGGGCGCGCACAGGACCCCTCCCCGCCGCGGGGCCCGGGGCCGTCCGGCTGCTCGCTGCCCTTGGCCCCCTCCCGCCTGGGCTGAACTGCAGGGACCCGGCGTCCTCCAGCCTCCCGCTCTACCCAGGCACCCGGTCGTTTGGCAGAAGCATCGCCTAATTCTCCTCTGCATCTGACTATACGTTTTTTTTTTTCCTTTGCTGCGCCATGACGTGACATATTTTTTTGAAAGACTGAGAGCCATCTGTTCTATTGTATTTCTAAATTACTACATTGCTTATTATTATCATTGCTGTTGTTTCGGGACGGATTTTTCATTGCTCAGGGAAGTGAGAAAGCAATGACGCTTAGAGCCAGGCAGGGCACAAGCCAGCGGTGCCTGCATTTCACGCGCACGGCTCGCCCAGAGTAGCTCATTCTCGTCAGCTACATCACTGCTAATCCGAAAATAGGCCTCTCCAGCTGTCTAGAGTCTTTATGGGTCTTCCTATTATTTCAGTGTTCCCCCTATATGATAGGGAATTTAATTTCTGAGAGGCTTAAAATGGTAAACACAATGAATAGTTTTTCCTCAGTGGGGCTCTGATTAATGCCGATAAAGACAAACGTCAGATGTGTGTTACAATTACTAAGTTCTTCTTTACAATAGAAGGTGACTGTACTGTGCATTTCAAAAATGTGTGTTGAATCTGCTGTAACTGCTGCCTTTTGGAGCCCAGCAACATCTGCAGGACAGGAGTCTGATTTACCAAGGGGTTATTGCAGTAAGGTTGTTGCTACAGCACCTTTCTCACGTGCTGCAAGTGTGACTGGGTTGTAATGATTGGAGAGATCTGTCTGATTATCCCAATTAACTCAATAGCATCAGCATTAAGGAAAATAGAAGTGTTCCCTTCTGAGGTTATAGAACGGTGGTTAAAGAAAGATTGGTTTATGTTGGCTTTTGCACCCTGTTGCTATTTCTGCACTAAAGGGAACATGAACCAACTAAAGCAAGATGGCAAAAGCACCATCATCCTCTAGCTGAGAGCCTTTATGGGCCACAGCAGGATTTAATGGTGCTAGAGGGACAGCAGCGACCCCCCCCCCAACCAGTCTTTGTATCTGTCCTTATACTGAGGGTCAAGTCTCCCAGAGCAGGGTTGATAACCAGCACTTTTCTGATGCTACACCCCAGCTGTATCTCCCGACGGAAGGATTATACACGGGTCTGTGTATTTGCAGATGAAAACGCAGGTGCAGGTATCGGAGGGTGTGGGCCCCTGTGCGGGCTCGGCTGGGTCAGAGCTGCCTTTCTGACAGCACTGCTGTTCTGGCATTTGCAGAGCGTAAGAATGATGGGCTTGTTCATAACTCCTGGGCTTTGGCAGTGTTCCCTGGTGATGGAAAATAGAAAGCAGCCAGATGAATGTTATCCCTGTGAATCATTTCTCCCACGAAGGACTATGGAGAGAGGGACCTCGTGTGCTCTATAATGTTACCTTTGCATATGCCGCTGCAGCAATTGCATGGGTATTTTTACACCTGACTCAAAACTCTCTGAAAAGTCATGAAACATACTCTAGAGGCTGGAAATGCAGTTTGCTTAGAAAATGTTCCACAGAGTGGGCTAGCTGATTTAGGAAACACATCGCAGCAGTAGGCTTTGAGTTTGGAAACTTTGGTTGGTTGCTTGCTTGCTTTTCTGGTGCCATTCTGGTATTCAAGGCCTTCATTGGATAACGTGGAAGTTTAATTTCTGATGAATGGGAGTGGATTTTGGAACCTGTGTAATTTTCTGGTGTTAGCGGAGGCCTTGTTTCACATTACAGCTTCATATTACTGAAACAGATACTCTGAGTTTCCTACTGGAAACAAAGTCCTGGATTTGTGCCCTGGAGCCCCTTTTCTAGCTGGCCTAGCTGAGAAAGATGGGTTATCGTGTGCCGAGGCCTGCCCTCGTCATGGATGCTGAAGAGCTTTCTTACCTGGTCTAATGAACTAAAGCACGTGCTCAGGTGCTCTACCAAGGCAGGGGAGGAGGGAGGTTTGGCAGAGGGACTGCAGTGAGCTTTGCCCCCCGCTGTGTTCCCCACTGGTTACCTGCACGATATAGCCGTGTGAGAACTGCAGACAGAATGTGTTTGCAGTGCAGGGCACAGCTAGCTTATTTCATTGCTAGTTTATTCATTGTTATTAGTGTTTCCTGAATTCTTGAATGTGCTCCTGTCTTTGCAACTCATGAGCTAACGTTAGGGCGGGGGAGAGGAGTGGTTTGCTTTGCTTTCCATGTAACTATAAAGTAGCTGCTAATAATCATCAGCATGTAAATCACATTCTGTTTAAATTTATTAATAAGATGTCATATTAAATTGTTGACTTAAGCAAGCACTATGTAATGGATATAGTCACTGTATGTTGTTAGCATTTCCACAGCTCATTTAGCCCCAATAAAAAGAAAACGTCTTTTCAGAATTCTAATGCACTTTGTTACTCATCAGTATCACTCCACCACCACTTAATCTTGCTGATGTTTTAGAGCTGCGTGATAGAATTATAAGGCAATTGATAGCTCAATCAGCCAGTGGATGGCTTGAACTCCGCACAAGATATAGGCAAAAATTTACTAAAATTAGCTTTATTAAAGGTGTTTTGCTACCGTTCTCAGTAGCAAAGGTTTTGAGTTACTTCTCCGGGCCTTAGGATAGTTTCAGGAGAGCCACTGGGCAGAGGAAAATAAAGCAGCGTTATCACCCTCTCGTCAGGATTTGCAAGGTTTGCTGTGCAGCCAACAGCCCATCCTAACACAGTCGATATAAACCTACAGCACTCCTGTCAATTCACTGCAGAGATTAACAAGTAATTCTTTCAAAGTGTCTCAGTTATCCAGCATGTAGAACAATCCTGGGCAGAGTGATGTCTCCTGAGCGAACCGCTCACGAGGAGGGACTGAGTGCTATCAGTGAAACCTCATAGCAAGCAGAATAAGCAAAACATCTAAAAGACAAAAAGCATCACCGTGTCGATATCCATTTTACAGCACCTCACTGTAGAGTCATAAACAAAAACATTTACTTAAAAGAGAGGTTATCTGTTAGGGAAAATGGTGAATTTTGGGGCTCAACAAGTGTTCATAGCTCAGAATTCTCCAAGAGGTTTGCTCAGGTTTTGTGTTTTGTGTTGTTTTTTAAAGGCAGAAAATGGAGTATATCTGTATGGATTTTGCTGGGTGTCTATGAAATGCCTCCAAATTTGAAAATTTATCCTTTTATTTGTCTTTAATTTCATTCAAGGTTCATCCCAACAGAAAACTAGTTCCCATGTGTCATGTCACTTACTATTTATCAGGTACCTGAACATCTGTTTTCCAGAAACTTTTGACAGTAGTTGTTTCCAACAGCAAACTGACAACTAGAAAATGAGACAGTGTCTCTTAAGCAGCATTTTTCATTAGCTATTTTAATTTGTAAGCTTTAATTAGAATCAAAGTATTTGCCATAGTACCTGGGGCTTAGTTCCATAAAGAGAATAAACATTGGTTTATTTTTATTAAGTACAACTCTAACGTTACAGTCAGTTCTTCCGTGGTCTCCAGTGGGCTAATCCCACGGGCTCCGATCAAGCGCCACTGAAGGCGATAGAGATTCTCACGTGCAATAAATGCAGTATTTCTCAAATGCTTTATAGACTAGATCTCAGGGATACTCTAATATGGTCATATACTGCTTTATAGCAGAATCCTTTATAAAAGGAACCACTGAAATCACCTCCCCCCAGCCTGGTACTGAACTTGCAGTTCCCATCAGATTCCCCAGCAGACTGAAAGCAATGCCTCGAAATTCAGAGAAAGGGAAATGGAGAGGAGCTGTGATTCATCCTGCGTCTATGAGTCAGTTTAATCACAGAAGAGATGCTTCCCTTCTATTTTTAACACAGCTCTGCTTTTTCTATTGTGTTCACAGGGGAGACCAGAGTTTTCAGAAGTTGTCACAAAATTAGAAGAATGTCTATGCAATATCGAGGTAAGGACCTTATTTCCACGGCGGAGTGTCTGTGCGTGTGCTGCGTGGCTGGGATCTCGAGTGGGCAGAGCAGCAGCGGCTGAGGAAAGTGGTGGCTTTGGAGCCTGCAAGCTGCTAGAGCTGCTTCGTCCTATTGCTAGCCAACACACCGTATTTTTAAAGCACACTGTCAGCAGTGGTTTCTGTGGGTGCCAGGAAGAGGAAGCAGGGGCCAGATACCGCGAGGAGTGTCGGGAGCGATGCAGAGAGGTGGGTGAAGAGAGAGCGTGGCCAGTGCTGTGGGGATGCACTTCACAGCCGTCCCAGGCAGAAGTTTTTACCTCCGTTCATCCCATTCAAAACTGCTTGGCTTAAAAAGAAGAAAAGACAAACTGGCCAAGACCCTTGGGAGAAAGGCAAGAGGAGGAAACATAAGAAGGATAAATGCAGAGGCAATTCCTGCTTCAGACTGTGGCTGTGACGCAGATGGATGTATCAGCCTTCGGCCTGGTGTAAGCTAAGTGGTCAAACAGAAAGTAAATGATTCAGGGCTGCAGTTCCTGAAATTATATTTTCTCTGTGTGTTTGTGTGTGTGTATGCATTTAAGAGTTTTAAATAAAAAACAAAACAAAACAAAACAAAAAACCCCTTTAAAATGGATCGCTGCTCTTGAGCTTAAGGGTCAGAAAAGACACCCATAATCTATTATATTTCTTCATGCTCTGACTGCAGCTGGTTGCTCCATGCGTAGGTGGAAGCTTTTAAGTGTGAAAAAAAGAAAAAGTGAAGCACTATATCATAAGAAACTGTCATCTCATGGGAGACCTTGACTTCTGTGACACATAGGCAGCAACACATGCAGGAAGAAACCTGGGGCAAGAGCTTACATACAAAAAGTTAAAAAGAAGATATTATTTAGCTGAGGACCTAAGCTCCACAGTGTCCAGGGCAAAACCTTGTCTGAGAGGAGTTTTAAGGAGCAACATCCCCAGTAACTTAAGTACTGCAGACGTTGAAGGATGAAGAGAGAAAACTCTCCACCTCCCTCTATTTCCTCTCTTTTTCCTTCTTCTCTCTCAGCAAATAATTTCGGCTCCTTTTAAGTGTCTCCCAAGCCAGGAGTGGCAGGGAGCCTTTGTGCCTACCCCTGCTGCTGTATGGTTGGTCCGTGCGTCCAAACACACCTGCCCATGCGCTGCCCCTGCGTGTGCTGTGCTCGGGCAGCACTGGCGCCCTCCTACCCCCCGGGGGCAGGTCTCAGCCGGGGGCTCCGGCCGCGGAGCCGGTGATGGCTCCCAGCTGCGGACGCCCACAAGCCAAAGGACTCGCAGCGCGTCCTCCGGAAGGCCATCCAACCCCAGCTTGAAAACCCCAGGCGGTGATGAATTGACTGCTTCGCTGGCTGGCAGCACCCAGTTCTCCTCACCCGATCAAAGTCAGGAGGCACCGCTTTTTTCAGCCCGACTATAAGGGAAATGTGGCACGCGCAACTTAGGCGAGAGCACCGAGGGAAGACTTGTAAATGTATAATAAGTGACACCTTTTTTTTTTTTTTTTTTAAATCCAGTTAATGTCTCCAGCCTCCAGCAACAGCAGCGGTTCTCTGTCCCCCTCCTCATCGTCGGACTGCCTCGCTGCACGAGGTGGCCCTGGCCGCAGCCACGTCGCAGCGCTACGTAGCCGGTTTGAACTGGAGTACGCCCTGAACGCGCGAGCCTACGCCGTCTGGTCACAGAGGTGCGTGCCAGCCGTCGCGGGGCTGAGGAGAGCGCCTGCGCCGAGAGGGGGGGGGAGCACCTTCCAGGAGGCCGCGCGGCTCGCGCCGAACCGGCGAGCTCCTGCAGCGGGGCTCGTGCCCGAGCAGGGGGACGTGGCTGCGAGGGAAGCCACGGTGCAAGCGCCCCGCGGGCTGACCTGCTGCCGGGGCCGGCCGGGGAGAGCACCGCGGCAGCCTCGGCTTCTCCTCTGCGTGCCGTAGCACAGGGCGTTGCGGTTATCTGAACGCGGGGGGAGCCACCCTGCTGCCAAGACAACAGCTAAGCGCTTGCGGTTTTCACTATGAGTAACGTAAAAATAGCAGCAAATCAAGTCCTGCCGTGTACGGGCTCTGCACAGAGCACCGGCGCTTTATCACGCGAAACAAAAGGCCGACGGCTGACCGTCCCAGGGGATGGAGACAAGTGGTCACTAGATGGATGGATGGACCTTTGCTACCTGACAGCAGGTCTGGGAAGGCCAGAGTCTGTATCATAATGTGTTTTCAATATGAAAAATTTTACCAAAGAAAGGCTAAAGTACACATTTTTTTCTTTGTAAAAAAAAATAAAGAAAAAAATATTCCAGGTTGTAGCATCAGTGCCGGGATGGAAAACCCAGGATAGACCGTGGGCAGCATTTTGGAACCAAATGACGAGGCTGGAGGCATCAGGTAGCCCGTGACACGGAGCCTCACAAGCCTCCCACGCCACGCGGGCACAGCTCCCGCCTTGGCGAACTCCTCATGGAGTTACCTCTGTGAAATCATTACATTTGGGGGAGCCGACTCCGGCAGGAGCGTTTTTGCGGTTGACGGACCAGTTTGGTATACTGGAGGCAGTATAAGCTCTACGTATTGTCTGAAAAATGGAGGAGGCTGTGTCAGTGTGTCGCATCGAAATAGGAGGGCAGGATCTGCTCGTCCTCGTAAGGGCCAGAGCCACCCGGTGAGCTCACCTCCCAGCAGAACTCAGCCCCACAGAAACGCGACGCCTGTATTTGCTGACTCGTATCACAAGCACGGCTTGTTACCTCTGCCAAAACACAAGGCAGGCATGTCCTGATTAGGAGGAATAGGGCATGCTTGCAAAAACCTAGCTGAAAATCCTAGAAATAAGCAAATTTTGGACGAAAGATCACACTAAAAGGCCATAATTATTATTACGTATGAAACAGTTTGTTTCCTGTTGCATTTATATGTATAGTTCCCCTTCACGGGGTGCGCAGCTCGTGTCTGACCAACGATACTCTAACATACCCTCATCTCTATTAGAGTCTTAGTATTAGTGAAGTTTACTTAATAAGAGGGAGTTTTATGGACAGGAAGAACACCCAGTTTCCTGACAGTAAGAGACTGTGATGAAGATTAAACTTGGGGAGAGACCAGTGATCTCAGAGAGCAGCTGTGGTGGAAGGTAACTGAAGATGTTCTGATGTTGTGTTTCTCAGATCTGGATTTTAGTTTTTGGTTTTTTCATCTCGATCTCAAACTGTAACATGATGAAGTGACTGAAGTGGCCTGTGCTCCTGGCAGGTGGTGTCGCCGGACGAGGAGCGAGCGCTGCCGAGCCGTGCTGTCCCCTGCGCTCACCCCAGAGCCCGGGCTGCTCTCTGGGGAGGGCGGCGGGGGGGGGCCCGTGCTGAGGAGGGCAGGGACAGACCCACAGAAACTGGACGGGTACAGGGGCAGGAGATGCAAGCGCCGAGTCCCTTTTCCCAAAGGAAGAGGAGAAGGATCTGAGCCTCACAGAGATCTGTGGGAGTCTGCACTGCTGGGGCTGTTCCTACCAGAGTACATCCTAAAAATTGCATGTCATTCAATCTGTGACCATAGAGGGATAAGAAGACCTTCCAATAGTTTTTAAGGCAGTCACATGTGAGTTCTCTATATCATTGTACCATTAAGTCTACCCCACCATGTGGGAGACCTGGTTTTGAGGGTAAATTTAGCAATCTCCCATCTCTACCCAATGGGGAGCGAGAGTACTGTGAAAATGAAATGCTGCTCTTAATCTCTGTCAGAGGAGCGGTGCACTTAGTCTAAACCTTACCCTTTAGCACCACTTAGCAGTCAGAAACAGCCATAGCAGAGCAGCCCATGCCCTTGTGATAGGATCCTGTTAACCAAGGTGTGGAGGGTCAGAAGCACAACCAGCTAAAATGGGGAGCTGGGATAGAGAACAAAATGAATCAATCCTTTGCCTGTTGGGGGGCTCGTATGGAGAGGCAGAAGGCAAACACCTGCAGGCAGACACTGAAATCTTTTGCATGAAAATACAGATCAGACCTGAAACGTTCATCTGGCAAAATGCCGTATCCTACCAGTCGCTTTGCTGCTGGCGCAGGACATGGAGGTGGGCACAGAGGTCAGGATGAGGGCAATATGAGCCAGACTTTTATTTTCTGTACAGGGTCAGATTTTGCTGATGAATGTAAGAATTTGCATGAAAGGAATAAGCAGGTGACGAATGTAGGCTGGTGTATACGCATGCGAGAGAGAGAGAAGGGGCACTTGCACGTGGCCCCCTTGGCCTGTAACTCAGTGTTCCCAGTGAGCACTGAGGCTCGTCAGCCCGCAACAGTGGGCTCCTCTGTAACCCCAGCGGTTATTGGAAGGTGGTTTAGCCAACGCCCTGCCATACAGATGAAAAACATTCAAATCTATAAATAGCACCCAGAGAGATTCACCCAGAGGCACAACACTCAACGAAAAGGGAATGGTTTCCACAGTTGCAGTAGTTTTTCAATTATACAACACACTGAGATGATTAATGACTTTACTTCCTAATGACAATTGTTTCTCAGGGTTTCATTTTTGTAAGCGTCAACATTTTCAGCAGAAAGGGTCACACTGTTTTTTTTCCCCAGCCGGATGATGTTTCCTGGGCTGCCTCCTGTTCCCATCTGCTCCGACGACTTCACGTCCTACGGAGCACAGCAGCATGCAGCTTCACAGAAACAACCCGTCCGATGACACCTGCGTGCAGCGTGCACGGGGCGAGGCAGCCGGGGCGCTCCAGTCGCGTGCTTGGTCCTCGCCCTGCAGCTCCAGCGTCTGTTCAGCGGATCGCTCCCGGCAGGGCGGGCTGCAGGGCTCCCGTGGGGAACAGGGTGCTGGGGCGGTGCATTTTAACTGTCTGTCTGACAGCACAGCTTCGCACGTCAACTCATCACCGTGTAAGAGCTTTAACTGCTGATTTTCTGCTTCTTTACACCTTCAGCATTTCCCACAGAGCCCAAGGACAACATCTGCAAAAGAATAGTCTTTTCTTGTTTGAGTAGCTCTCGGTCAACCCAAGTCAGAAACACCTGGGGTGTTCTTTCTTTGTATCTTTGCACAGTGGTGTTAGCACGTCTGATGGGGCAGGCAGGGGCTGCGGAGCCGCAACCGCCGGGGCTGGGCCGGGAGCTGCGGGTTCTCCCGGGGACGCACCGTCCCCCCGGGCCGGGTCTGGGCTGCTTGGTTTTGCAGGCGCTCGGTTTCCGTCTGCCTGCAATCTGGGAAGAGATGGCAGAGGACAATCCTGTTCATGAAAGCTCCTCTGGATCGGGGATAAACGACCCGTTGGCAGGATGGTGGGTTTGGTCAATGACTGGAAGATAACTCGGCCATATTTCTTGCCAGAGAAACTCATTTGCAGGAATCTGTTAGCAGTGATGCATAAAATACGTTATAATGATCCTGGATTGATGCCTAGAAATGCTTCTGAAATAGCAATGCACAAACAATTGAGAAGCCCCAAGCAGTGTATTATTCGAGGGAGGTTGCTTGGAGAACGGATGCAATGTGAGCATGCACGTGTTTCATGCTTTTCCTTCATAACTGTTTCTTGGTTCCTGTGGATGTCAGTGCCTGGGCATCAGGTTGGTGTAGTTTATGGGAGTGGTTTTTCTTTCCAACTTTGTAGAAAAAGTTCTCGTGGTCTGGAGATGTGATTTTACCGGTCTTATATAAACTGACACCTCCTATTTAATTTGCAGCACTGGGCAACACCCTTCTCAGGGTCTGTCGTTGGATGACATGAGAAGAAACTTCCAGTACCCACCAATTGACAAAAACGGTGAGTTAATGCGGAATACGCTTCTGAGCACCTTGGTGTGGTTAGCCACCGCAGAGCTACCGTCTCCTGAGGTACCAAAAAGTCCCTTGAGAAGCCCCCTGTCCACGGGGCTGGCCCCGTGCTCCTCGCAGCTCGCGGCTGGTCTCACCGCCGGGCACTCCGGAGTGGGGCCGTCCTCCCGCTCGAGGCGCGTGGGGATCTGCGAGTAAGGAGAACGTGGGGCAGTACCTCCTCCGCTTCTGCAAAAAGTGGGCAAGACGGTCCTATTTCTGGAGCGCCACGGGAGCATAAGGTGACACGCCACCATACCCTTCTCACCATTTGCACGCCTCTCAGACGGCATCCCGTCGTTCTGCTCCCTCCCAGGACAGAGATGTCCTGACTGCTTCTTCCTCGTGCCTGCCTGGCTTTCTCTCCTACCACAGCCCGGTGTGTGTTTATGCATTGCCACGCAAGCAGCCTTCCAGCATTTCCTAGCTGCTGCATTTGCAACACTCCCCAGGAACCCTCTCCTGCTAACCAGCCTTTGCCCAGGTCTAGTCTCGCAGGCAGCTCCGCGGGAGCCTGTCTCTCGCCTACCCTTTCTGCATGGCTCACAAACACTAGCTGGTTCTTTACAGTGTCCCAGGCACAGAATAATTATCAGCTTAGAGGAATTTTTAGCACAGAAGCGTAATGCCTATATAAACCTTAAAATAAAGAGCACATGGAATTTATTTGGCATTAGGGTGGTACCGAGCAGCCGGGATTCAGCCACCTGGAGTAAATCTTTCTTGGTGTGGATCTGGAGGTCAGACTCTAAGTGTCACCTTTGGGCCACTCTCCGCTCGCACGAGGTTCAGCCGCTGCACCCCAGGGAGACCCACCACTGGTGCCAGGGCTCTTCCCGGACGTGCCGGCACGGCAGTAGGTGCGGGCGTGAAGCCGCAGTTTGTCCCCGCGCAGCGAGGACACTGACGGGGGCTACACCTACCGAGCGCGTGATTCTGGAAAGCCTCGGGCTGCTGCCTCCCGGTGCGGCTCCTACCACCAGCACCGGCTGATGGCTCTGCCTGAACGACCTCAGCTGCTCCACGGCCGCGTCGACAGGGCGTCACGTCTCCGGTTCAGCGCTGACACAGGGCCAGCGTCAGCCCAGCCGCTGCGGTGACCTTCGCCTGACAGCACCGCGGACCCTGCTGCCACCACCGGCCCCCAGCCGCGCGGCTGTGCCGGGGCTCGCCGCCCCCCGGGCAGGCGGGAAGTCCGGGGAGCCCTGGACACGGAGCAGTGCGGGACGGTGCCTTCTGCAGCCACTGCCGGAGGGGTCAGCGCACCGGAGCGCTGCAGGACGCCCGGCGAGAGCAGGGGCAAAGCCGGGCAGAAGTGCCTCAGCGCCGGCAGAAAGCGAGGCGCTGGCACGGCCTGGGCCAGCCGCGCCTCTTCTGAAAGCTGGGCAGAGGGGTTTGTTCATAAATACGCCTGTCGGGCTTTGGGGTGTGATGGATAGAGGAGGCAAACAAAAAGGGCAGGAGCCGCGAAGCTGCCGCGGCGGAGGACGACAGCAAGGCCTTCAGCAGGGAGGCGCGGGGCTGGGCTGGGACAGGCGACGCAGGGTCCTGAGCAGACACGTGCACCCCGGTCGCTGCCGCCCGGGCGGGCCCGGCGCGAAGGTCTCGCTGTGGCTGCGGTGAGCAGAGGTGCTCGGTGCTGCGCGAAGGCTCTTGCTTCTCCCAGGCACGCCTGCCAGGTACGGACGAGGGAAACGCGTGGTTCTCTGCGTGCTCTGCACTTACAGGTGCTTCTCTGTATGTCCAAACGGCAGCTGTGCTGAGCGGATCCACCCACTTCACAGCGGTGCTCTCCTCATTCAGAGCTTGCTGCTGTCCCCTGCCCTGGGGCCTTCTCACTCCTCTCCTGGCATCTGTTCCCTTTTCTGCCACTTTCCAACTTGTTTTCTCACCAGGAGAATTCAGTGTTTTGTCCTGCCTGAAGCATATATCAGAAGCTTAGCAGCTTTGCTGGTTTTCATGGGCCTCAGCATGATGACTCTTGCACTCCTTCCCCGCCTCTGAACTGAGCACCTTGGGTGAGAAAAAGAAAACCTGGACATATAAATATTTACAGAGTCGAACACTAATAGCCGTGTTGCTCTCATAATGAGTGGTGAGGTAGTGACCTCTGAAACTGAAAAAACAACAAAAACTTTGTTATTGCTTGTTGTTTGTGCTTCCACAGCTGCAGAGAGCAGTTCCTCAGGGCACAGCTTTCATCAGGTACCTGGCAGCTGGAAAACTCAAGGTGGGAGAAACCAAGAGCAAAACAGGACTGTTTAGTGAACTCCTAGAGTGAGGCCATCCAGGCAGGACTGGAGAGGGTTTCCTAAGTTTGTATTAAAAAGGGGCAAAAGGGAATGAAGGGCTGGCGGAGAAGAGACTCTCCATGGCTGCAGTTAAACTGTGGGATTGTCGAGTGATTTCAGACTCCACTCATGAGCCCTCAGGTTTTATTTTCAAATATACCTGTTCCTTGAATCACAGTTTCCCCAGAAGGGAACCAAAGCGTGCAAGCAGTGGCGGGGGATGGCCCCGGCCAGACCCCCACGTTGCTGGTCGGGCTACGGGGCCGTGGTGCAGCATGGCTTGGTCACAGCCTTGAGCTGGCCAAGCTGAGCCTGGCGCTCGCTCGGGTGGCAGTGCAAAGAGCCAGGATGGTACAGAGGAAGGTGAGGATCCTGCCTGCCGGACACAACAGGCCTGGAAAAGAGAGTCCTTGCCACGTACCCCATCGCATCCGGCTTACGCAGCGCGGGGGCGAGTCCTGCAGCGTCACCGGGATTCGGCCCTCGAGGAGGAGCAGCCTCGCCACCCCTTGCTGCAGAGCCCCCAGCCCCGCGGCCCTGGACGCCCACCCCAGCACCCCGCGGCCCTGGACGCCCACCCCAGCACCCTGCGGCCCTGGACGCCCACCCCAGCACCCTGCGGCCCTGGACGCCCACCCCAGCACCCCGCGGCCCTGGACACCCACCCCAGCACCCCGCGGCCCTGGACGCCCACCCCAGCACCCCGCGGCCCTGGACGCCCACCCCAGCACCCCGCAGCCCAGCCACCGCGTGTGCTGGGCCGGGAGCAGCCACCGAGCCACCGCAGTGCACAGCCGCGCGCCACAAAGCCCTCGGCCCTTTCTTACCAGAGTGCTTGGGCTAACGACTGCAAATATTTGCACTCTTTATGAATGCCACATAAACCAATTTCACTGCTGTCTCTCCCCATTCACATCCATTTTGATTTTTTTTTTCTTTCTGCTTGCTTTTTGCCTAATGTTTTCCATTATCCTAATTTGCGCTTGCAGTCTGTAAACAACAGAGAATCCATTCACTGTTTTCCTTTCTCTATAAAAGTGCCCAAAGCACCCTGCTGCCATTCCTGCAAGATCCTCTGTGATAGTGAACAGTTTCCTTCATTAAGTGTATTTGAAAATAGAAATTCTACAAGTAAACACAGCCTTGCCTTCTTCAGTGAGGGCAAAGCACCTGCTCTTAATGGGAAGTTTCACAAATGACGAGTTGAACAGTACCTCGAAAGCAGTGGAATCACACGAGGCAGATGCACGCTGCCCAAAGAAAACTGCGTAGCTTCTAGAACTTAAGATCAGTGTAAACACAGCGTTTAACTTTGGCGTCTCCTTGCTCACGGCAGCTCTCAGACACTGGCAGGCGAGTTCCTGATGCTGCTGCTGAGCATCACCAGCGTTCCCCACCGCCAGCGGGGGCCCTGGCCGGGCTGTCCCGCAGCACAAGGGCAGGCGGGCACTCACTGAGCAGTTACAGCACGGTGCAAGCCCAGGCTGTGGCGTAGCACAGCGTCACCCCGCTTGGCACGCGGGAGGGGCACCAGCCAGCCGAGGAGAGCTGCCTCCCCGGCAGGCAAGCAGGGACCCCGGCACTGACCCAAGCCAAGCATCCCCAGGGCCGTGGTCCTGGCTGCTGTGAAACTCTCGGGCACCACAGGGCCCAAAGGAACCTGTAAGGGCTGGTCGAGGGGGCTGGAAGAGGGACAGCGTCGGTTAGCGCGAAGGTTCCCTGGCGCTGCGGCAGCCGCGAGGCACACGGCGCGCCGGTGGGGCAGGGCACCCTGCTCCCTGCGCCGCGGGCTGTCCCCACGGCAGGAGAGGGCCTCGGCAGGACGCCCTGCTCCTGCAGCGTGCCCGGCACAGCCCCGTGGGGCTCTGCCCCCCGGGACGCACGGCGGCCTTGGCTGCAGCGGGGCCGCAGCCTGCCCTCACCTCCCCGCGCCCAGGGCACTCCCCGCCTGCGCCAGAGCGCGCAGCGCCAGGGCCCGGCGGCCCGAAGGTACGAGCGAGCGTCCCTTAGGGAACAGCTTTGCTGCCAGCTGTCAGAGCACAGCGGGGCCTGGGGAGGAGATAAACCAGGGTGGCTTACGGATTACAGCCGAGGGATGCCGTGGTCAGTACTGTTGTAATTAGCAGAGCCTTATTTTGGCGTGTCTTTTATGGTTGGAACTAGGAATTTGGCACGCAGGAGCCTTAGCAATGTTTTTTAACCCTCCTCCCACCCCACCCTGTGCCCCAGAAAGTTTTCGTGTACTAGTTTCTCTGCTCGTTTCCCGAGCATCCGTGTGGCTCCGTGCAATGCCTGCTTATCGAGAAATTTGAGTTGGCTCCACTGGATTTTAATGTCAGTACAGTAAAATAAGCAGTGTGGGAGCAGCTGACCGATGCACCATGTAAAGGGAGAAATGGTTTCTTCGGCATTGTTGGAGCAGCTCATTGGAAATACAGTGCTGGCAAGAGCAGTTGCTTTCTGGTTTGTAGTGTCAAGAATTAAAATATTTTAGAAGCACTGATCAGAATGCTTATAGTGAGCCCTTCGAAGCTCTAGTGGAAAGGGCAAAAGGTGTTTGGTTTGATTTTTTTTTTTTTTAATGGCAAACTTCCATTGTGTTATTAAAATATTGAGGTTCTTTTTTTTATATCAGTCACTAAAGATTCTTTGTGCTTGGTTATTGTGAAATCATTGCATGAATGACAGTGTCAGTTTACTACTTATTTAAATTTTTCCTCAGCAGATGATATTGAACGGAGAGTTGCAGACAGCAAAAAGGCATCAGCATGATCTGTGCCTATGCACCTCAAAACGATATGCACGTTGTGTTGTTGACGTGGTCGCTGCAGGGAGAGGCGGGGGAGAGTCGCTGCTGTGTGCAGCCACGCGTCACCTTCTCTCTGCCTCCTGCAGGCTACGTGTCGGATCCCATGAGCACCATGAGGTTCCACTCCTGCAGCAGCAGCAGCAGCTTTGAGGAAAGCCACTGACAGCCCGGCCCGACAGCCTGCAGAGACTCACCAGCGGCTGGCAGCCCCAGTCCTCACCCCCAGGCACCGTGTGGTACCCCAGGGGCCCTAAACTGGACACCTCGCTTTGGCGGTGGCCAACGGCCCTGGCAGAAGTTCTGCTCCAGCATCTTTCCCTGATGACCTGCTTGAGGGTTGGGTTCTTTTTTTTTTTAGTAGTGTGCTTCTACTCTTTAATGAAGTGAATGTCCACAAGGAATGCTGCACTTTCATCTTGAGCGTAAATAATCCGAGGAAGTGAAAGTCAGAAATGCCTCTGTTACAGTTTCAGGGTGCCAAGGGTCCCTTAGCTTGAGCTGCACGAAGGTGTGGGGCATCAGCCCCTCCCGGCTGGGAGGTGCCAGGGAGCTGCCAGCCCCAGCCCCATCAGGAGCAGCAGCAGCCTGACGCTCCCCATCACCATCCAGGCCGTGGTGGAGGCAAAGGTGCTCCTGCTCCCGAACCAGAGCTACCTGCTGCTTCGAGCTCCCGCAGCCCCAGGCACGGCCCGCGTCTCGCTCTCAGCACCCTGGGCTCCCGCAGGCGCCCAGCACAGCAGCCCCGTGGCTGCAGCTCTTCAGAGCCCTGATCTTCAGCTGCTTTTCTGCTCGCTGAGAACAAAGAGATGTTTGGGCAGCCACCCTAACTGTACTCTTCCAGACATTTGTGTTTTCTTACTCACTTTCTTGTTTTGGTTTGAGTGATTGTTTTTTGCCCAAAGAGTGTAAGCTTTCCTTCAGACATCTGCTTACAGAAAGTAACACAGGTACTCCAAAACAAACTTTAAACCAGAATATGCAAAACTGTGTCACAAATAGGATAAACTGAACACAGTGCAAAGTTGCATTTTTGACTCGAAGCAAAGCTGCAGCAGAGTGCCATCTAGCGCGTGCCGAGTGAGAGGAGTGCCATGAGCAGGTTTTGCAACAGCAACTCTGATCACTGGGAAGAAAACAAACAAAAAAATAAGAGGTAGGGCAGGAGAACGTGATTTATTATTCTAGAAGCAATGACAGAGTTAATTATGCTGTTATTTTCTGGGTTTTTTTTTCAAATTAGCAAAATTTAGCTGCAAGTGATCATGCTGTAATACTATTCCTTACTTGGACTCAAAGGCAGAACTGCCTTAGTGGCTCAGTAGAAACCAGTGTTCACAGTCGCTGTGTGTTGCTCTGTGGATGTTATTCAGGACGTTGGTTTCTCACAACTGTGATCCCTGACCCAAGGTCTGTGATGAGGCATCCTACAGCACGATACACATGAACTGTAAACGTGTAATAGGCTCTACTGACTGACACCTTCCGTGTGTGCCCTTGCTTTCACAAGCCTGAAGCAATAAAAATGGGAAAGATTTCACTTCGCAAGGTTTACAGGTGTTTTTTCATTTGTTTTGTTTCACTTTCTGAAAAATCCCATGGTGGAGAACTGGAGACTAAAGCTGTACATCAAGTGTTGCAGATCTGCTGTCAGCCCCTGGTACCGCCCAGCAGTTGGGCTCTGCTCTGCTGGGTTCATGGCTCGGTTTCAGAATCATTTACACCAACATCCAGCACCAGCCCCTGCAGCCCCGCTGACGCCTGCAGCTACCGCAGGGCCACCTCTGCCAACCTGCTGAGAGAAACGCATTTCTACGCTGAGCTTCACGTGAGGGGGGTCTTGCAAGGCACTGCTCTTGCTCTCAGCTCTTTCTCTCTGACTCACACCTCTTCCTTTTCTGTGGCAGAACTCAGACAGCTCCCACACGTTCGCAAGATGTTGGCGTTGCCGCTGAATCCCACCAACACGCATCACGGCAGCCTCCACCTCCCCGAGGCTGAGGCAGGTTTCTGTGACCAGGCAGCCCCCTCTGTTAAACACCCGAGCGCTGTGAAACTGAGGAATTCAGTGCAGCAGGAAAAGAAAGCATCAGTGCAGCACCCCGGCTGCAGTCCAGCGACGCGGGGGACTAAGCACTGCTCTCCTCTGGAGGGGAGCTGCTGGCAGGCTGCTGTACTGCCCTGCAAGCCGTCACAGCCTTCAGAGGTGACGAGCATTTGCTCGGGAAAAGCCCAGCGAGGGATCGGGAAAAACCCAGAGAGGGATCGGGAAAAACCCAGAGAGGGATCGGGAAAAACCCAGAGAGGGACCAGGAAATCCCAGCGAGGGCTCAGGAAAAGCCCAGTGAGGGACCGGGAAATCCCAGCGAGGGCTCTGCATCCCCTCCTTGCAAAGCTTTAGCTTTAAGGCAGTGTTGCAGCACGGGCAATGCTATGTCAGATCTCCAAGAGCTTTAATAAAACCGAGCAAGAGGAAGCTTCAGCTTTGCCCACAGATCAAAGGATATCATCAATCATCATGGTAACTTTTCAAGACGATGATTAGCTTTGTTATTCTGCAGATGCCTCCTCTGGCAGGAATATTTCCTATGATGCCTACAGAATTTGTGGAGTTTATGGCTTGAGGCAGGCTTGGCCAGTGCGACAGGAGATGCCCCCTACACAAGGACTCTGCTAAGCCTGCAGCACCCGAGCTGAGGGGCAGGCACCTCTGCACAACAAAATGCAATCAGTCAGAATTTGTTCAGGTTAAAAGCACCCCCCTTTCTCTTTTCCCATTTTTGGTTCCTGAAAGCAGAAAAAAACCCTGTAAACCATGCTGAAATTAGTATTCTGCCCCCTCAGATGAACCACGGGGGGGAACAAAAGGAGGTGTCCCTTGGGGAAATTCCAGCTCATGGCTCGCAGAGAGTTCTGACCTGGGTGCTAACACCCTCCCGGTCAAACTCAGCTTGACCAGCACACAGCGAACTCAGCCATCCTGCTGTCCTTCCGCTGTAACCACCCAACCTCCGCGCTGCAAACCGCAACCAAACACCACCCAGATTTCTTGGCAACTGGAGGAGATGTCATATTCTTTCTAGAAGTTAAAGTGACACTGAACTTGCCATGCTTTGAGGAAGGTCGCGCAGAGCAGACGGGAGAAGGTGCCTTTGGGGTGCTGACAAGAATTCCCTGCCTGCCTGCCCGGCTGTGCACAGGGTAGAGCTGCTGAAGCACCGGCAGGGCCTGAAGTGACGGGAGGGGCGGACACAGATTAGATCTCCTCCCTTGGGCGCTGCACTGGCCAGGGTAGGAGACACTGGCAGGGCAGAAAGGATCAATTGTCATATCCGAAAAAATCAGTTCCAGCATTGTTTCAACTAGAAAATTTTCTTACAGATACCTCTGCACTATGTCTTTTTCCCTTGCTTAAAACAATCATGTGATGACTCTTCATTAATACAGCAGCTGTACCTGCAAGCCAGAACCTGGATTAGAAAACAGAGCAAGGAACGTAGATTTAATTTGCATTAATACCTCTATGTACTCGCTCGTACCTGGGCTGCTTGGCCTGATCGCTGAGCACCTCCTCGGGAAGTGTCAGATGTGGCCATGCGGAAACAACAAAATCAGAAAGCTTTTGAAGGCAAATCTTTTATAGTTTAGAAAGCTCTTTACAAGGCCAACTGCTTGCAGATAATTTTACTAGTAAGTAAAATTACTGACTCCTTGAAGAAAATAGCGCCTTAGAAACATCAGGTTTAGCAGGAAAGCCTGTTTCATAGGAGTGATCAGTGATTAATACAAATGAAAACTCTGAAAAATGTCATTACTGAATAGAGCATGCTCTAAAGTTGTTTGGGGGAATAAAATTAGTTTGTGCTGTTCCAAGAGAAGCATGCTGACATATTTATAAAGAACGAGATGCTCCGAGGATTCTACCCCTATTCTAAGACCAGCCAGTGCCTGGTAGCTGTAGCACTATTTTAAACTGTTTAACATATCAGTAACAGATACTCTAGATTAATATATACCGTGCAGGTGTGCATATGTATACCAAAAAACCAAACCTCTGGAGAAGGTCATTAGCATGAATTTAAATTCTGAACACTTCACATACCAGGTGTATTCAACTGTAGAGTATGTAAACACAGATTATCTATTTACTGCACATTTATATATTGAACAACACTGAAAATGTCTTGGTCCAGTGAATAAGCCACTTCTGATTTTATGGACATTCCCTGCTTAAAGGGAAAAGACCTCTGTTGGCTGGTCGAAAGTCAAATACGTGCTTTGTAAGCAACTACTGCATATCTTGCACAGAACAAACATTTAAACCACACCACTCGGATCGCTTGATGCAACGCTTTCTTTTCAACTGCTGAGAACCATAAAGCTATTATTAGTCTTTTTTGTCTACTTTTCTGTTTCAAAGCCCTTCCTGGTATCCACACTGAAAACACAAATGGACAGACCATCTTTAGTACAGGAGGGAACAAACATGTATTATTTGATCACGTTTAAATTTCCTACCCCGTGCATGTTGATCTTCAGTGACTTACAGTAACAATCCACTCAAAATCCTGCTCATTTCAGTTCCATTTCCCAATCTGAGAACACAGTTTTAGCCCCGCCATGCAGGGGCAGAGGACGCCACGGCCTGGAAGGGTCCCGGGGACCCCTCAGAGGAGTGGGAGCGCCGAAGGGGAGACCCTGGCAGCAGAGACCCGCAGCCAGCGCTGGGCTGAGACAGCTTTACACTGACCCCCCCTCCTACACAGACCCTGTGGGCCCAGAGAGTTACTCCTGCCTGACACCAGCAAAGCAGAAGGCCAGGCTTTATTAGTTTATAAATATGACTTAGAATTATTCAAATTTAAGTTTTCAACGTTTCGAAATCCCAAGAACGCCCTGAGGTGTGGCCAGCACCACGCCTGGATCCCTGAGGAGGGAGAAGCCCTCCCTGTCCATGCTGGTGGGCTGGCTTGCCCGTAACGCAGGGTGAAGGCAGCCCCCCAACCTAAAAACCCCTGTGCAAGGCCCCCACTCCCCCCAGAGCCTGCCGTTCCACATCTCTGCTGACCACCCCCAGATGCATTCATCAGAATCAAAGCGTTCATGTGCGCAAGTGCCCTATGCACAGCAATGAAGACACAGCCCTGACTAACAGTGAAAAGTCTGTAATTCAAAAAGGCAAACAACACCACATACAACACATCTACCCTCGGCCCTCCCTCCCACCAGCCAGCAGAAGCAAGCAGTGCCTGGGGAAGGAGGGGAGGTTCAGCCAGTCCAACGTTCTTCTGTGTTTTGGGAAAAATAAGCATGACCGCTGTGGAACAATCCTTGCAATTATTGTCTTCGTAATTACAAAGGAGTGCTGTTTCCTGGGCTGGCATATACACACTTATTTCAGTTGTCTCCTGCACACTGAGAAGCTGCTCTAGTAAAACATGACAGATGGTTGTGGTACTCGGGGAGTAAAATAAAGAAGCAAACACCCCAACCAGCACAAATCCACAGCGATTTGTGTAGATGTTGCAGGACCCAGCACTGAAGGAGCTGCAGAAAAAGCTCAGAGGAGAGCTTCTTCCCCATCCCGGGGCTGTACTGAGGACACCACCACTGCGTCTGGGTTTACAGCATCCTGCAAAACAAGAAAAACAGCATTAGCTTTACAGAAAACACGCTAATCTGTGAGCTACTGAGATACCACTGCAACAGATTTCCTACAAGCAGATGCCAGAGTAACCAGGGAGGCCGAGTGCTGCCCTTGGCCCGGGTGTCAGAGCCGGGGGGGCTGCTGCCGGTGCCGGGCAGAGTAGCAGCACACTGGGTGGTGGGAGCTGCTCCGCGCGGCCGGAGGGCTGAGGCGACCCAACTGATAGTAACTTGATCAACTGATTTGATGACTGATATATTTAGTTGATATTAATCCGATTCATTGATACTAAAGATATTTGCAATGAGATTCTGGGAGCTGGAAAGACTGCAGAAACTGCCACCTGAGAGGATTATCATCCCTTACCCTGGTGCTGCAGAGACTCGCAAATAAACGAATAGCAATTGAAATTTTTCAGCACAATTAGCTAACACTCCGCAAACACAAATGGCAGGTTCTAATGCCCGCGAGAACAAAATTATCACCAAACTAACTCCTAGGGTTTAACGACGGCCCAAAACGCTCGATCACACACCTTAAAAAAAAAAAAAAGGACTCTCAGCCTCGAGGAACATCTCAGGGCAGCGTCCCAACCGGTAGGAACCCTGAGGAGGTTCCTTGGGCGGTGTCCCAACCCAAGGACCGAGTCCTTACCTGCAGCACGCTGCTCCGGGCGGGACGAGCCCCGCATGGCTCCCCCGGGACTCATTTCTACCCGAGCCCAACCTGACCCAGGGTCAGGACCAGCCCGTATTGGCCAAGGGCCCCGACTGCCGCAAAGCCCTGAGGACCCCCACCACCACAGAGCCCTGAGAACAAGGGCACGGGAGAGGTTCAAGAGCCAGGCAGCCACGCTGCCATGGGGGGTGCCCCCCGCCACTCCCAGCGACCAGCAGCAGGTATTTCAGGGGAGTGCAAGAAAGGGGAGCGGCAGTGCCTCCGCCGCTTCGGGCGGGCACGGGGTCCGCTCCCGCGGGACTCACCTCCCGGGGTCCGCAGCTCCGCTCGCCGGCCTCCGCAGCTCCCGGGCCCTCGGGGCTCCCTCCTCCGCGCCTCTCCCTGCCCCGCTCGCTGACCCCAGAAGAGCTCCAGTCACACCCCGAGACACCCGCTCTCGGGCTTTCCCAGAGGCCTGGCCGCTGCCCCTCAGCCCCCACTCCTGCCTGCTCTGCCCCCTCCCGCAGCCCGCCCTGGCCCCCCGCAGCCCCCAGCCCGCGAGGTGCTCGCTGCGGCCGGGTGTCCGGGCGTAGCCCCTCGTCCCCCGTAGCCCCTGTCCCGCTCAGCTCTGCTCCCCCGTTCCCAGGCGCAGGGGTGCTCGGGGACCTTTCTGCGGTCGGCGGTTCCCCGGGACGCGGGGACACGGGGCACACGGTGCCGCTCTCCGCCTCGCCCTGGCCCCCGGCCCCCGCCGGCCCCCTTCCTTCGCACCCCAGCGCTGCCTCCTGGTTCAGCCCCTGCCCACAGCCCACAGCACCACCGGCCACCCCCTCGCCGTCCCTCCCGGACCCCTCGCCCCCCATCCTGCTCTGTCCCCCCCACCCTGCTTCTGTCCCCCCGACCTGTGCCCCCCCCACCACAGCACACACACGCGGCCCCAGGGCCGGCAGCGCTGCTTCGGCCGCCAGCCCCTCAGCAGTTGGCCCCTGCTCCCCTCCCTCTTTAGCACACTGCAGCCGTGCCCCCAGCCCAGCTGCCAGCTCCCTCGGGCTCGCTGCTCCACCTCCTGACTCTGCTCTGGCTATCTCCGCAGATACACCCATCTCCCCTCCATCGGGTTTTTCTTCCATCGCACCCTCTGACTTTGCTTTGCTGCCTTGAGATGGGTCTCCACCCCAAAGTGCTTCTGCCGAGCCCTCCTCCTCCTCCATTGCTGTGATCTCCCCCAACTGAGATGACACAGGATCCTTGCCAGGCTCCACAGTCTCCTCCACTGTATCTTCTGCTCTCAGGAGAGAGATCTCTTCTACCTCTGATGCCTTGCCAGTCTGAGATGTTGCTGCTCCTATGGCAGCTTTCCCCATCTCCATCAACTCTTCCCCTGAGGCTTTCAGCTGGGAAAACTCATTTGGCTTTACAAAGACTTCTCCTGTGCAAACATTCATATTCACTAAAGTTTCCAGGAGAGCCTCGGGCTTCTCTGCAACCTCCTCCCCTTCAGAAATGGCTTCCTCCACAGCCTGCTCTCCCTCAGGGCTAACTATCCTAGCAATTCCTTCTTCTGTCAAGCTGGCATCCTCCACAGCCTCCTCTTCCTCAGACACACCACCCACCACCAGACCCTTCCCTGCCAAAGCTCCCTCCTCCATGGCCTCCTCCGCCTCAGGCACTGTCCCACGCGCCACCTCCTTCACCAGAGGCCCCATCGCTCCCGCAGCCTCCTCCTCGGGGGCCTCCTCCACAGCCTCTTCTCCCCCCGCCACCTCCCCAGCCACCTCCTCCTGCCCGGACACCACCCCGCCTGCCGCCCTGCCGAGCAGTGCCCCTCTCCCTGACAGCTCCTCTCCCCGTGCTGCCTCGCTCTCTGTCTCCTCCATCAGACCCTCCTGCTCCCCAGGTGCCACCTCAGTGCCAGATTCCATTCCCTTCCCTGTCCCCTTTCCTTTGGGATCTGCCTCTGCCACGGTGCTCTCCTCAGGTGCAGATTCCTCCACCACAAGCTGACCCTGTGCCTGCAGCACAGCCACTGCATCTTCCTTGGGCTGCACTCGTGACACTTCCCCTGGATCTTCAGTGTCAGCATCTCCTCCCTCAGCAACAAAATCTTCCTTCTCAAGGGCTTGTCTCCCTCCTGCCATCTGCCCTTCTCGTACCACTTGTTCTGCTGCCTCTTGCACATCAAGTATTCTTGTTAGTTCCGCCAAGACAGCTCCACCTGGTGCCATTAAGAAATAATCAAAACATTAGCTTTATTGAGAACTGTGTCAGTGCTAAGGCTGTTTTACAGGATTATTATTAAAGATGTTATCTCTCCCAAGCAATGAGGGGACATCAGCACAGTGACAAGAAGAAAACTTGCTGTGCTGCTTCTCATCACACACCTGTGCTCTGACTACATTTCTGGTGCTGCTGTTCTGGCATCTGGCGTAACTAATTTAAGCAAAAAAGTTGATGCATGACCAGCTTTCAACTCCAACAGTTCCGCCTGCCCCCCCTACCCTCCCTCCTTCCCTCACCTGCCTAGCAGGGATCTCAGGTGTGTGTACGAAATAGCTGTAAGCTTGACAGTAACATTCAAAAGTTCAGCAATAGGTGGTAAATTGCTCATGTAAAATACGCACACAAAGGAAGAGGAACACTCAGCAGCTCATGTAAAATGGGTAATTGCTTTTCATGGATTCTGTAATTACACCACAGGAATTAACACAGGGTCAATTCCTGCCCCCTGGGAATTCAATGGCAATGTCCTGACTGAATTTGGTGCTCCAGGATCTGTCCCTGGGCAGGCACCCCCAGCAGTCTGTGCTGCTGCACTGGTGTTTTGTGCAAATATGGCAGGTTCCTACTCTTTAGATGAGAAATTTTGTGCCACTGAAAGGAGCAAGGAGCAGTATCTTTCCCAAGCTACCCTTTCACAAACCGGGCAAAGCCTGCCTTGCCCCAAATCACCTCCCACTCCTTTCCACTTGTTTTACCTTCCTGCACTACTCCTGCACTCCACAGTTGCTGATTTTCGCTGCCTGCTTGGGCAACTCCCTGTGCAGCTAGACCCCATCTCTGGAACGGCAGCCAGCGAACACTCCAGGTGACAAACATGCCTGGAGACACTATTTGTCCGGCCTGTCTCTGCCGGCAGAAGGGAGCTTGTGGCAGGTTTCCCACAACCCTTCCACTGGCCCCGCTGCTGCCCGCTGCCACTCTTCCCTCCCTGCCCTTCAGCGCTGGACCTGACTCGCTGCAGGGGGAGCAGTGGGCGCACCAGGCAGCTCAAGCAGCTGCAGACAATAAAGGAACCAGGAGAAGAAAGGACAGGCTGAGAAGAGAGTTTCCAGAGAAAGGATGGAGGCCGGGGAAGGAGAGGAGAGAGCACAGCAGGTTGCTTCCCCCCACCAGACCACGCATCGCCTGAACTACAGACCACACTTTAAAATTAAAAGCTCTGCATTTTGCAATACAAGAGATCATGCCTTCATCCAAGACACATCTTGTACCAGGTTTGTTGCTTATGTCTACTACTAGCTTTCTGTACCTTGCATTTTATTTTTTTTTTCTTCTTTTATACATATATAGGTATATAAAAATCAATCACTATCATATTTTTACAGCACTCACACTAAAAAACGTACCTCCTCAATCTGGGAGAGGTCAGGCCCACTACCAAAATCGGTAACTTGTAATCATTTTAAAAATTTCTAATGGATTCTTTGGTACAAAATGAAATAAAACATCCCAAACTGTCATCCCAATTCAGAGTACACACTCCTGTCTCCACAGAAGTATGATGTCTGAACTGTCCAGCTGCTAATACTGGATGGAGTCTAACGTAATGGATTCTGCCAGTTCCTGTAAAATAGATGCGTTGTTCACTTCGTCTACAAGAAAGCAGATGCTTTGTTGTGCATGGCATAGTCTAGATGTTCACCCGCTTCATCAGCGGAAAGAGCAGTTAATTTATTCTGGCTGCTGCTTTACGAAGTATTCCCCTCTGTAAAGTGAGGTCTTGCATTGGGCAGGAATGATAACGGCAACTCTGAGGTTGTTTCAGCATTAAAGTAGTCAAAATGAGGCACCATGTGAACCTGAGAAGTTAACAACTACGAGATTCCAGGCTTTTCAAAGACCACCTTTCAACTCTCATTTGGAGGGACAATGGACACAGAAGTCAGGCTGCCCACGAACTACATGTTCACTACTCTGGTTTATGCACCAGAAACATAGATCCTTGTGAAAACCAACTCATGAAGACTACTGGACTATGAAATTAAACGTTATAAATAGTTGTTTGCAGTCATCTGAGGAGACTGAGGCAGAAGCAATCTCATCTGAGAAGGGATTACTGAGAAAAAGACAATTACTGACAGACCAGAGATGAGAAGGAACCTCCAGGATCCTGTATATACCTTCTGGATGAAAGACAACCAACCCTCAAAGACTATGTTCTTAGACTACATAGAGGAAAAAGATCAAAGGCCTCCCAGCTGACCAGGAAAAAAGAAAAAAAAAAAAGCTTAGAACACCCTGGATTAATGTGCCAAAGTACAAGACAGTGCACAACTAGCCATTTAAAAACACTATATATGACCTGTTCCTGACAGTTGTTGGGTTCTTACAGGATGGAAGAGGAAATGGAACAGCAAATGTGCAGACTGAAGTCAGTCTTACCCCGTGGTTTTCTTTGCTTTTCAGACTCACTGCTACCGTGGAGTAGACTCTCCACATTTACTTTCACTACAGCTCACTGCTGCAGCAGGCTGCCCGGCTTTAAGCCCCCCTGTATAATATGCAAGGCTCTTCTGTCAGGCAGAGCAAGTCTCCAGCAGTGAAGTGCTGGGGTTGCATGGACCAGAAACATTCTTGGAGGGAACTTTCCCCACTGCCAGTGATGCCAACTGCTACCAGGGAGGCGAGTCTGGGGGACAAACGGAGTGCAGCATGGAGATCAGGTCTGCAGTTCAGCTTCCTTCCTGGCCTGTCAGTCCCATCCCACCTGTCCTGGCAATGAATTGCCCCAGGAGGCCCCGCTCTACCTGGAAGCAGAGGGAAGCTCCCTACATTCCTGCTTTCCACTGCTATTTTCTTGACTGGCAGTCAGTTTTTTCATGGCCTGGATTCTTTACCTGGGACCATTCTAACTGCCAAAAAAGGGTTAATTATACATGACTACAGAAGCCAGCTAGTCATCACCCGATTTTATACAAGTTAGGAAAGCAAGGAGCACAAGCAGGGTTTGATAGCCTAGAAAGGAAAGGGAAAGGGCAAACACTTCTATAAAAAGACTTCAGACTAAGAAGATTTAATCCATGTCCCCGCTCGACAGCCGACCTCACCTTCAGTGGCATCACCCTCTGTACTTGCTACATTCTCATCTTCCTCATCTGCACAGGAATCACCAGGTTCAGGTTCAGAATCCACATGAGGACCATTTCCAGTTGCCTTTGGTATTTCCTCCTGGCCTGGTTTGCAATCTTCAAAAACTATCACAAGGTTACAAAAGAGGTGGCAGGAAAGAGAAACCATTAAAAAGAGGAAGGGGACTAGAAGCCATCCCACTGTCTCTGCTTGGTTTAAAATTTGAAATGTTAGGGCAGACCTGATGGGGTCTTCACCATGTAAATCTTCACCAGCTGTAATTTTTTTAGGTAGATTAAAACCAAATGGAGACCACTGTTAAAAATCCAAGAGAAAATTCACACAGGAGCATCTACTCAAACATGGAGCATCAATCTTTCACAACATTTTCACAAAACAGTGGCACTGCTTTTGTCCGTCAGTCTACAGTACAAAAGGCACTTGCTGAGCTCCAACACCTTCCTGCCTCTACCACAGGTCCTAAAGGGCAGCGATGGGTTCGCCCCTTGCTGTCACATTTCACCTGGGTGAAGCACTAGCTGCTCTGCAAGGAAGCATGAAAGTTGAGCAGGGCAGGTCCCAGGAGGGCATTTATAAGGCAAGGACCCAAGATCCTGACAAAGGTCTCTGCGCCAGAGTCCTCAACTTGCTTAGGTTTGGTGCCTGTGTTCCACTCTGGCCGGGTTTTAGGCCTGATGTCTGAGCAGCTGGCAGTTCCCGTTCTTTGCAGTTCACTGCCTGCCTAACGTTTGACAAAAGGGAATTGACAGTCTCTCGAAACACAGAGCCCAGGGAAGGATGACAAACACTGCTCACGGTAATTCTCTCTCTTGGGATCAGCAATATTTCCTTGTCACAAAGAGCACGGCGAGGCCAGAAAACACACAGCTGGAGCCATCCTGGGCATTTCCACACTCCTGACAGACCCTGTCACAGCACTGGCTGTCACTTGCCCAGACTCAGCCTGCAACGGAACAACCCCGGAGGAGCTTTGTGCACCTTCTGCTTTCTTCAGCATGTACAATTTTCTCTGATAAATTACTTCTGCACTCTTAATGACAGCACTGGTTAGGAGAAACCCTGTCACAAGCAGAGCATGACGGATCTCATCGGGGCAAAACCAAAACAGTGCCATGCCAGTCTCAACTAAATGTTGGCTGTAGGGCTGATAATGACCAGCCCTGCAGAGAAGCTCATGTGAAAAAAGCAGGGAGGCCCAAGAATGGACTGAGAACCAATTCTGCAGTCGCAGTAAAGGACCGAGCCCTTCCACCCGTCCAGGCCTCTCCGGAGGCTTTTTGCCCTCAGCCTTTTGGAGAACCGGAGCAGTGGGAGTTGTAACCATCTGGCATTTTTTCTTAAGACTACAGATGTCGTTAAATTTCGAATTAGAATCTTCATCATGGCAGCAACTGTGCTAAGTGCCTAAAAGAAGCGAAGACTCCCATGTGACCTTTGTTAACCCACAATATTTCTTTAGCATGCTCATTATATCTCAAAAATCTTTTTTTTTTCATTGTTCTACCACAGTTTCTTGGAAATCCTTTATTTGCTGTAAAATTTACATAGAAAACCCCCATCTAGGTGGAGAAAAATCTATATGCAATTGAGAAAGTCGCTCCTATCTGTAATTTTTGTGGTTCAACGATTTTTCTTGTCCTTCCTTCATCTGCACTGCCCATGAATCTCAGGTAGTCTCCTGGCAACAGAGAAGATGCAGGACTTGACTAAGAAGTAAACGCCGTTACCTACTTAACAATTGGACAGCCTGTCTATATTTGATAGAGGATCTCTTCTCAAACCTAGAGCCACGACACCATGTGCGCTGAATGTAAGCACGCAGAATTTATGCTAATAAAGAACAACACTATTGTCTTAGGCTAACTCAGTATCACATTACTAGCTTGACACATTCAACTGATCTTTCTGTGGTTTTGTATTACAGCATAATATTCTGTCCTCTAGGTTTTTAAAGTTCTTTCTTCTTACTAGTCCTTACTCAACTCATCTGAGTCTAGTGGTGAAAGTGCTTAAATTGACGTTTCTTTTGTACAAGTGAAGAGAGGGCCTCCAGAAGCAAACACCGTTGAAGACGGCAGCATTATTCAATGAATGGTATGTTACTGTCTTTACTGTCTCAATTCTGAATGTGTAACAAAGCAAAAGCAATACACAGGACAGTCACGAGTAAACCAGCAGCAACAGACTTGCACAGCATTAAGCACCAGCATTCATACTGCTTATTCCAATTCAAATTCAAATTGTGGCTATCTTAGATAGATGCACTGCAGAGAACAGAAAGCAACAGAAACTGAACCAAAACCTTCTATTAAAACAAAGGAAAAGCATTCTACATTCCACTGCAAATCCAGCATACCGAGAGACAACTGAAAATTTCATCTACCGTGGACGGTGGCTCTCCATTATGTCAGCACCAGTGCAGACAACTGTTCTTTTATACTGCCTGATTTAACAGCATCCAAGATGTTTCACCCATGACCTCAATGACACCACAAAGCAAAGGCTTACATTTTTTTCCCATTCCACAGATATAACACAAAGCCTTGCTCATGTGGCCAACCTTTTACTAATTGCCCATTATCCATAAAGGTACGGTTGAAACTGCAAGATGCCCATTTCATCAACAGTAAAAACAAGGTGTCACACAACTAACTGATTTGCTCCTTCCCAACAAATCGATGACAGAGTGAAGCAATGCAATCATGAATCAACTGTCATAGGTTTTGATCTTCATCTGCTGCACCGTGATACACATGGTAATTTTTAGCGTTCTTTTGGAGTCTAGTATTTCAACATTTTATAAAGAGATTCCCCCAACCTAGCACACAGATTCTCCCATAGGTAAGTCATGTTTGGGTTTTATAATAATTTTATGATATTTGAAACCCAGCTACAGGAGGAAAAAATAACAACCAAAGCCTTACACTGGAAACATTAGAAAAGAAACAATAAACCAAGGTTTCTTTCTTAGTAGCTATTTAGCTCACAGCGGTACAGAGTATTCTAGCAGCCAGAAAACAGCCCAGCACCTGCACCCCCCGTGCTGCCCCACGACTTAGGGCAAAGGCAACACAGCAGCGCCTGCGTGCACCGGTCACTCACAGCGGGGCAGAGGGACTGTGCTCTCCACCTCCTCCACCATTCTGAGGACTTTCCACTGCTATCCTCCCCTCCCGTCACACTGCTTCCCACAGGCACGACAGTTCCCTCCCTGCCATCCCTCCCTGTACTTGCATTCTTCTCCCCATCCTCCCCTATGTTACTTTCTACTGGCCCAGCCTCTTTAAGCTCCCCATTAACTTCAGGACTCTGACGCTGTATTGCCGTGATATTTTCATTAAAAACTCCAGTACCTTCCTTCGCTGTCAGATCTTCTGCTTTTGCCTTTTCTGCTTCATCTACTCCTTCCTTTCCCAGTGCAAAAGTTTTCCGATTTTCCTCCATTTCAAGCAGTTTATTCTGCCCATTCTCATTTCCATACTGTGCATGTGCTGCGTTATCAGATGGCCGTTGGATGTTATACTCCTCTTTGCCCTCGTCTTTCATTGTTTCAGCATGACCGTCATCTTCACTGCTATACTGAGTTCTGATGAATGACAGAGAGTGTGCAGGCCTCCTATCTAGAAATAGCAAACATAATTTTGTTTTAGTCTTTGTCACTAAAACATCTGCAGTCATTGGCCAAGAGTTCCCTTTGCTATGCACAAAGGCACAGAGGCTCATCTGACACCAATCTCCAAACTACACCATCTGAGCATACCATGACAAAATTCCCATACGTATAATAGAAGAGCATTGACCAGATGTATCAGTGTTAAAATCAAAGCCATCTAACATATTTTTTTCTGATAATGGAAAGGAACCAGATCAGCTCCATCAATCACACAGAAATACACCTCCAAAAGCACCCCTAAATATGACTCAGACATGTTTTACAATAGTTTCTTGAGTTTTGTGTGATAAAAGATTTCAACCATAGCAACGGTTCTTTAGTGAACTCCTGTTATCTCAGTGAATATGATAAATATCTCTAAAATCATGTCTAAACCATCCAAGTTAAGATGGAGATAACGCTCACTGTCTCCTCTAAAAAACCATACAGGGACCATCATGTGAAATTTATAAATGGAAAATTTGAGGAAAAAAAATAAAAGCAATAATTCTTCATCTAAGATTTAGCTGAACAGTAGAGATTACTGCTACACAGTATTGCTGGCATCCAGAGTTCACATGGGTTCAAGAAGAGAGTCATCAAACTCAAGGAAAAAAAATCCAGTTAGGCCTAATAAGTAAAAGGACACCAGCTAATTACAGGGGTGGGAAGACGCAGCGGGGAAGCAGCACAGTATTCTTGCCCTTTTCTTATATTTTCCCTAGGCATCCACAGCTGGACAAAGACCAGAGGTAGAATTTGGACCTATAGAATTTGGACCCCTGAGCAACTATTCTCAGAGCCACAGGAGAGAATCTGTGCTGCATCATCTCTTCCTGCAGCCACAATCTTCCAGCAGCCTCCATGCCTCTTCCTCTGTGGATCTGAGGAAGGCTCACTGCAATTTTTCTGTAATATTTTAAATTATCCTTGTCATCTGCAATGTATTATAAAAACTTTGCAGGACTGCTTTTAAAAAAACCTCAACTATGGAAGCTAAAACTTCTCTAAAATATCTCAACTACTCCCATTCATCTTAAAACAAGAACCAAGAAGGCATGTTTGAATGGAAACGGCCATTCTGAATTAGTGGACTGCCTTGTATAGATGCCAGACTACCAGAAAACTCCTCAATTTTCAACTACAGTAGCAAAGGAAAAGGAACAGAGTGCAACTCCACCTCCCAGCACACTTCAGTGGCAGTGTGAGGAAGCTGCCTGCACCTCTGCAGAAGTTATTCAGGTGTACGCTCATTCTAACCGTCACCTTCCAGGAGACTGGCAGCAAGAACAATGAGTGGCACCAGCTGTGAGGTGGACGTCCGTCCTGTAGGATCTCTCCAGGCACGAATCACTGGGCGGGCAACCACCACATGGTAATGACCCTCAGTCACTTCCAGTCTTCACTGGATCTGCACCTGCGTTCTCACAGTACGTGTGTTTAGACTCCTGGCAAACATCATCGCTCCCAAAGACACTTATAAGCATATTGAAATTAAAATTACGGGTCCATGGCTCGGCAGATGATTTCAAGGCAAAGTAAATGTCCAGAGCACATGGAATTTCAGGTCGCAAGGAGATGAAAGTTGAAGATACCAAGAGATAAATCCCACAGAAACACATGGTGTGGGCAATCTCCAGGTGGTCACGGGTTCATGTTTGCCTCTGGGAGCCTGACAGAATGGAAGCTTGCATGACCAGTGAGCAATACGCCCCCGCAAGCTAGGGACAACCTACCTAAATAATTTCACAGACTACAGAAATTCACCTACACTTAAAAAATTAACCTAGTAACAAAATAACAACAAAAAGAACAAGACAAAAATAACAAGGCCCTACCAAACCAACATTGCAGTGATCTGAAATGCCACCCAAAGCTAGCAGTAACCTTAAAACATCCTTATCTAACGTTACACTCTGCTGTTTACTGGAGGTAAATAAGGACTGGAGAACTCCTTCAGGCTTCCCACCCCAAGAGGATAAATGTTGGAAGCACTGCTCCTCTTGTTGGCAGTCATTTACACCTACGGGAGCTGTCAAACAGAGGTCAGAGCACAGCACCAACGTGTTCACAACATGACCAATGATCATGGAAAGGCTTTTCCACCACTATCCCCCAGTTAAATGCGTGTGCTCAGAAGGTGTAAGGGGGCTCGGATGTCGCTGACCACTGACATGAAGTGCTCATCTGCCCAACCGCTCAGAGCTACGCTGTTGGCTGGCTCCAGCTCCATTTCTGCCACGAAAGAGTTCAGCACAGTCTGCTGTGAGCTGGCACGTGCTTCCACTGCCAGTGGGTTGGGCTGCCTTTCAGTGACGGATGACAGAATTAGTAATGGACAAAAGAGCTATCTTTTACTGATTCGGTAGGAATTGCATGCCTTTTCCTATGCAGACTTAGCACGTGCACCGGACCCGCACAAAATGTGAAACATGCATCAAGTGTAAAACATGCACCAGGTCAACTTCTCTAAGCCTCGTTATGGAAAAAAAATAACCTTGTTTATCGTCCTCGGAGTCACTGTCAGAGTATCCACTGCTCTCATCTTTCTCACTGCCAGAGACCTGCAGTGCCTCCTGGGATGAGGTTTTACTCTCCCTTTCATTGTCCAAATTCTGGGTTTTGTCATCTGAGGATGACACTGGTACTTCATTCCTCTGATCCCCAGTCTGGCCCTCTTCATTAACTTTCTCATCTGATTCAGAATCTTCATCATACTCTAAAAGAAAAGAATTATATTATGAGACTGGAAACGGAATTCACAACTAAAAGTTATTATTAAGCAGACAGAGGATAAATTCACTAATCTCCTTTTGCTTTTGCACTTGCTCAGTCTTTTTAAAGCCATGAGAGAATCTAAGACCACAGGTAAGAATCACAAGAGCACATTATCATAAAAAGCATCATGTTCTTCATAGACAGAGTAGCAAAATTGCAGTGAAGTTACTGAATGATGCATCAAGTAGGATTAATACATTTTAAACAAATCAAACAAAATCATTAGCCACTGAAAGGACTGGAAATATCAAGAGCTGGGCAAACTCAGCAATAACATGCAAGACAGTCTCGTGTTACAGGAGAAAAACCTGTTGCAGTGAAAAAAATACCAGCAACAAAGAAAGCTGGAGAAAGCTAATATATTGTAGCACAAAGTAAGATAAATGTGGGTTGACGTGGCTAATTAGCAAAGAAGCAGCTACAAACTAAATGAACTAATTACATACAGACAGAGGGTGCTGCAGAGGAACATTCTGTCATCACATGCTCCTTCAGGTCCCAGCTGAAATCCTAGCACAAATGAAGCTTACAGCAGAATTGCCATTTTTACATCAACATGGTCTGGATTCCATCCCAGGCTACTAGCCTGACGAGTTGTAACATCTTTGCTCACATCTGTAGGTAAAGCCTGGCTCCATGCATACGCACTCAAGAACCCTTCCCTCTCCAGCCAAGGCTGCACTATTTTAAATCCCAGGCACCACACGCACAGGGATGTCAGTGATTGCCATGCAAAATTCCGTAATTCCACTGCTGCCACTAGCTGACTGCACATGCAGCAGAGAGGCAACAAACCAAAACTGTGAAGGAGAGCTGGAACTGCTAACACATCAGCTGTCCCTCGTGGCCATAAGTTCCCATCTTTCAGATTTTATCGTTCACCTCTTTTTCTTTCCGCCAGTGCTTTTAAAGTACCGAGGTGACAGAATGCCAAGGACAGAAATGGAGAGTACCTCATGCAGAACCAATTAGGCAAATAAACAAGTACCCAGACAATGAGAATTAAGGGAATAAGGAGATCTATTTTCTGTATTGCAAATCAATTGAGATTCCAACTGCATTGTCGGAAGTGAGGCCTCCTTAGGTAACTGTCAGAAAGGTGCCCACCTCCTGAAGGAAAAATGCTTGATTAATCGCAAACACAGATCCGCAGGGACTAATGAGGAAGCTGAGCAGTAGCACTGCAGAATTATGAAAGTAAAAATAGGAATAGGAAGCAGGAATTACAATCCCCCTCCTCTCTGAACTTGATTTACGCTGAAGCAGACGTTCCAAGGAGTGGGTGAAGGCACAGGCTGAGCTCACCGCCTCTCCCGCAGGGGCAGGCAGAGTCCCCGACGGCAACAGGGACGGGCCTGAGGTGGCACAGGGGAAACGGCACACGCTGAGAATGCAGCTGGAGCTGCCACACAGCTTCTTTTTGTACCAGAAATACTCGATTTGCCTGCCACAACAAACACCCCGTGGGCAAACCTGCAGCAAGGGCAGCCTCTCCCCAGTCTTTCTTTTTAAATCTCTCAACAGAAATGAGGTGGGACTCATGTGAAAGGGCAAGGTCAGCTAGCTACAGCAGACAATGGGGGCGATTGGTAAAGGGCAAGGACACTAGCACCAGTGGGGTCAGAGCAGGGAAGGCAAGAAAGGTGAGCTGGTAGAGCTGGAGCAGAGGGAGCAAATGCTCAAAGAAAGGTGAGCTGGTAGAGCTGGAGCAGAGGGAGCAAATGCTCAAAGAAAGGTGAGCTAGCAGAGCTGGAGCAGAGGGAGCAAATGCTCAAAGAAAGGTGAGCTGGTAGAGCTGGAGCAGAAGGAGCAAATGCTCAAAGAAAGGTGAGCTGGTAGAGCTGGAGCAGAGGGAGCAAATGCTCAGGAAGCTGGAGGTTTGGGCGGGTGTCAGGTAAGCGGTGCCTGGGCAGTGTGCTGGAGAAGGGCCTGGGGAGAACCGCAGGTGAATGAAGCATTGCACTCCATGGGCCATGGGCAGCAGAAGAGACCCAGGTGCTTTAGCTGGCCCTGAATCTTGCTGACATTCTGCTGCCGTGTGCTCCTGCCCTTCTGCGCCCAGCACTGAGCCGCCTGCCCTCCACAGTTCGTCCCTCCCTCCCTCCCCACCACCTCAGATCAGGCAGCAGGCAGCTTGCCCACCTCCTGCCCCCGTGGCCACCATCTTCTCGCCATTCAGCTGATGCTGACCTCCTGGCTCCCTCAGCAGCTCACCTCAGACTCAGTCTCCCTACCCACACCCCGTCCCATTTCTTCCTTCTGCTCTACTTGTCCTCTTCCTGCTGCCATTCTCCCTCCTCACTGCTGCCCCTTTGCTGTGCCCCACTTTCCTCCTGCTTTCCCATCTACCTCGGGCCCCTGTTTCAGCCTCTTGGACCTTCCTTACTCCCTTTCTTGGCTCTTACAAAACCACTTCTCCTGTTGCTTGGCCAAAAGAAGCCCCACTCATTTACTGCCCAGACACAGGCATCACCACCTTTCTCTCACATGAGGTGTCCTCAGAGAGGATGCCCCAGGCAAAGTTGGAGGCCCACAATCCCATACCTTCTCCAGAATCATACTCTCCCATTTTTCATCCCCTGCTTGTGTTTTAGAATACTGTACCATATTTACTGGCGTCTTCCTGACTATCTTCACTCTCACGATCAGACAGCTTTTTCCTTTCTTCTTTTCTGTACTCCTGTCCAGTCTCCATTTTGTCCTCAACAGTTGCCACAATTCCTTCATGATCTGGTAAGATGACTAACACTGAACATTTGCTTGATTTCTGATCAACACTGCTTTTACTTGGCTCACTGCACACTCCACCGCCCCCGGAACCCACATGCTTTTCCTCATGGTCCTCCTCCATCTTTCTCTTGGGAGGGCATGGCTTTCTGTCCAGACCCATTGCAACAATGCACCTATAAAATAACAAGGAGAATTGGAAAGTATAATGGTTTTGTTTCTGTTAACAATGGAAGGGCAGCAGACACAGCGAGCTATTCAGCTTGTCATCAGCAGTGAAACCACGTACGTATCTGCCTCTGCATTGCCACTCAGACCACAAGGGTACTGGTAACGACTCACTTGGAGAAGCACCCTGAAATCCTCAGGAGATCCACTAACACAGATGCGGTTCTTCGTTGAAGGAGAGCAATGCTGTCCGCACTTAAAGGTGTCAGTTGAAGTATAAACAGATTCAAATCAAAGTTATCAATCATCAGTGCACACTAATTTCAAGATACACCAAGAATGTGTGTATCTGTGAAGATACAACCATCGAGAAGGGCAGACAAGCTCAGATGTGTGCTGGATCCAAATCCTGCTGTAGCACCTAGTAAAGTGATAACTCCAGTTTTGTGGATAAGACTCTTTTTTTTTTTTTTTTTTTTTTTTTTTTTTTGTCTGATAGGTCTAATAATGGCAGGGGCAGAGGGAGATTGAAATTGAATTCTTTTCAGTTTCTGTTCTGCTTTTCCTACCTAATAGAAAGCCAAACCACTGGAAAACAAAGCAGTCTGAATGACTTGTGAGGCTGCTCCTGTTGTATAAAATGGAGTGACAGCCTCTCTGTCTTATGGTGAGGAGGCTCATATAAGGACCAGGTTTCCTACTCCTGATTTAACGTTAACCACAGACACAAAGAGCCACCCTACACCACCCACGAGGATCAGGACATGGTGCTGTATGTAGTACATGGATTCAAACCTGCAAGCAGAGGATGAAACTGAAACTGGAACTTTCACTTTAGCTGATCACAAGTCTCTCTGGAAAATCCTATTTTCTTCACAGACCACTGTGTCTTAAAATCTTTTCCTCCCCCAACATTGCTTTTTTTCTTTTTTTTATGTAAAGCTTGATTGCAATTCCCCTCACCTTCCAGCTGTTCACAAACTCCTGTGAAATATCCTGCAGCCACTTAGTCGAGAGATCTCTCAGTTTTGCAGGTATAAAATGTAAGCGTGATAATTTCTGGAAAGAGTCCTACCTTCTAATTATTTCTTCCTGGTATTTTTTTTCAGGGACCTTTGAGGTATTGAAGCAATTCTACTGTACAAAAATGCTGGACCTAGGCCAGCAGAAAACTCTTGGTGCAAGGATCTCAGCATCGGTGGAGAAATCACTGCAGTATCACCTCGTTGTGAACCAAAGCTTTAACCCAACAGGGAAAAACAACTGGGGTCTTTACCAAGAATCAGAGTGGGGATTTCATGTGAGGATGTGGTGTCATACTCAGAGAAGAAAACAAATACAATCGCATTTTACCTGAAGTAGATGTGAAAATAGTTGTCATTTATGGGAAGAATTCAATTAATGCGAATGGTTTTTAGTCACCAGATAAGCTTGGCTGGACTGACAAGAGACAGGAAAACAGAAATATCACTAAGGATAAGAGGGGAAGGGAGAGGGAGACAGAAAGTGTGGGCACCTCAGGAAGAAGCTAAACAATTTCTGGAGACTATACTAATTCAGAAAATTCACTTCAAATCTTTCTAGAAATCACAAAACAACTGAGATTTGAGTATCTCCTAAACTCTACAGCCACTCTATCTGTTCTGAATTCCGATGCTTTTCACTACTTCGAATATCCTAAGTAATGCGATTACATAAATCACGTTCAATGTTAGGTTGGAGTAGAAGAAATAATGGTACAATAAAGTAGAATATTTTCCCTTAGAACTCGGTCCTTATCTGAAAAACTAAGAGCATACCTCTGTGGAGGTTCTCTTCTTCCAGCTGCTTGCTGGTCTTTTAAAAATTACTTATAAAAAGAACAGAAAAGTTTTAAAATTATCCATGTGTGCAGAAGTTCACTTGTCTGGCATGACTTAACAATCACACAAAAGGAAGATCACCTTAAAATTAGAGCTTCTGGCAAAACCACAGCTGTTGCTCACATTGACTTTTGCCCAAACCTGAGAACCTTCTGCACAGATTTGTTTTCTGAAGCATGGCTAACATTCAGTACTGTCTTATTCTGCAGCAGGGGTATTACTGCAGAATCCCACCTGCGAGGCAGAGCTGTTTAAAAGTAAATTATCTCATTCTCACAATCACAGAGAAAACCCTGAAAACTGAAGTTAACTAAGCAGCACTTTTCCTATTTCTTTCACTAGCACCAGAAACATGCCAGTGGCCTAGGTATGGCACCCCACCCCTACCCCTCCACGCTCGACTGCTGAGGAAGGGCTGGCTGCCTCCTGACAAGCCAAGGGAGCCAGTGCCAACGTTGTCCACTGCTGCGCGTACTCGACAGCGCGCCTGGAGCGGCAGCACGGAAGCGGCTGCCTTTAATGGCATCCCTGGATGTGGGACCCTGAGGGATAAGCTCCATTCTCCACGTTTCAGGGGGCGCTGTGAAACGGACCACGTTCTACAGAGCTGTGGGCTGCCAGAAAGATGAAAAAAGAGGCAGCAAGGGATAAACTGTCCAACAGCTGGGCTGCTAAATCCTTGTGAGCAAAGTGTATTCACCTCCATACCTGCAGCAAGGAGTTGCTCCCTCCACACTGAGAAACCTGAAGTAGCCGTGTCTCTCTCCCAGCCTGGAACGCCTCTGATGTCTGTACTCACAGCAGCAGCTCAGCCTTTCCACTTGCATCCCATTGACAAAAAAGGTGAGGCTGAATGGGAAACCACGGTGCCTCCTTGAGACGAACTGAAAGGTCTCTGTAATCACAGGAAGGAAAGGGTTCAAAGGAATGGGTTACGCTTTACTGTCAGCCCACTGCAACTCTAGTATCTCATCTGCATCACCACCAAAGCACCCAGCCCTCTGAGGTCAGGGACCTTGGTTCTTGGCTGTATTAATTCATTGGTAAAACTCTACCTCCTTCCTACACAACAGCCTTGTCTCTCTCCAACCCTGGAGTGCCAAGCTGGACTCCCCTGTGACAAACAACTACATGGTCAGCTTGGCCACTCCCTGCTACAGCAAAACAGAGACCAGAGCATCCCACCTCTGAAAAGTTAACCCTGCCACTTGCCTTACAAGAGGGTGCATTATGCACAGACAGTTTAGGATTCCTGGCACGTGTCTACATGGTGCAGTGCAGCAGTACGTTAGAGCTACCGCAGCGGCACGTGCATGCTCCTCAGCAGAGTGCAACCCCGGCTCCAGATCAGTACAGCTGCAATATCAGAGGCTCTGGGCCTGCACTAATCCGGCTGGACTCTGGAACACTGAGCACCTGACAGGTGCAGGGTTTAGAGCCCTTCCAGGCTACTGCAAGGGCACTGCTCAGCATCCCTGCCTTTAGGGCACCGAGGCTGCCACCCAGCTCCGTGCTGGAGGGACGGGGTGCACTCCCTTTACTTGCAGGTCACAGCGCCCTTCCAAAGTGAAGTGGGCACACACCGGCAGGAGGGAAGCCACGCCGGGATCCAGAAGGCTCCCTAAGAGGTGCGAAGGGGCTCAGCACAGGAGGAGCACACCCGAGGACACCTTCTGCACAGCTGGGGCCCAGCCGCCCTAACCAGGCCCGCGGGCACACGGCAGCACACCCCCCGCCCCAGGGGACAGGCTGGGGTGCAGGGACCTCTGCACCTCCTTCCCACTGCCAGTGACAGGGCGAACCCAAACTCCAGGGCAAACGAGGGGCAGCATCTGCGAAATCACTCTTCCTCCTAAGTCAACCCAGCCACCGCCTCTTCCTGATTTCCCTGAACATAATTCACCTGTCACTGGCGTGATGGAATAGCACGCACATAAAAGAGACAATAATTGGGCTCCCATTATCTGCTTTTCCTTCTGGAATGGTAAATAACATGCACAGGTGTACTGTACCAAGTCAGAAAGAGAGAAGCCTTATCTGAGGACACTTCACTGCTACAACTACGTTACTAACCATACTCCTCTAGACAAAAGTAATCCAAGCTACGGTATTCTGTTGAATCAGTTCTCTGCACTCCTTCCACCATAGTGGGAAAAAGTAATTGTAACCTCACTTTCAGTCATGAAACAGTAGATCCAGGTTTAGTGTGGAGGTGGACAGTATAAAAATCCCCACATGCATATATCTTGACTGGACTCAGCTGAAATCGTTTTGATACCACATCAACATTTTAGCCAAAAATAAAAAGAAGAAAGATGTTGCCAGAATCGGTAAATCAGTACAGTCTCTTTGACTCTTCATCCTTACCTCCTTTCAATAGCCTGCCCGTATAGACACAAAGGTTTTCTCCTCCACAGTGCTGCTGATAGACTTTGATTTCATCTCTGTAATCAGCATCATTGTGAGATAAATGCACACTTTTTCCTAGAAAGACCATGGTAACAGATGCGTTGCTGTGTAACGAGGGCTTAGGGAACCCTCCAGAATTCTGCAGCAGGAAACACACAGAAAATGCATTCAGCTTCCAACCCTAACAAAAGGTGAACACAAAGATCATATGTGTGGCATATGCTTGAGGCTTCCAGCCTTTTCAGACAGGCCTTGAGCTGCTTCAATTGGAAAGTGTTCTGTAATGTGCAGAAGGGCAGGAGAGTATTTCCAACTGAAAATCCATTGCATTCAATTGCTCCAAATTGCAGGGACCGTGTTGAATGACCCATATCATCCCTCCCAATCTTGAGGTCCTACAGTTTCCTTTTCAGGAGTCAAAACTGGCTAGAGACATAGTGTAACAGATTAAGTTTTCATACAATCAAGGCATTTCATATATCCCCCCGAAGTCCTGGTACTCAGTGTGGTCAGAGACAGGATCAGATTGACTAAAATGGAAGGCTTTAAGTAAGACAACCTATGTTTTTTTTTGTCCAAGCACCCTTCTTCCCCCCAAAATGATGAAGAACACCAAATGCCTTTGTATGTAGAGAGATGGGTGGCAGTTATATATTTTAATAGTTAAAAATTTTCTTTCTTCAAAAATTCAGTGAAAGTTTATGCAAACTACATATACGCATCTTTCAGCATTAGGCAAATACACCAAGGAAAAAGGTAATATGCCTATGCATAAACAGAAAAGTAGGCTGAGATAACTTACCTTTGTTAAAAGTTGCTCTACATCATTCGGTACAGTCATAGGACGAAGCTGCCTCCGCCTGGATGTCCCACTTCTCGCTGCATTTGCGCTCTTATCTCCTTTTTGCAGGGGCGGAGGTGGCACTGGTATCAGATAATTGTTAACGACAGGGAGTTGATATGCAGACACACCAGTCCCTGAACTCATAAATCTTAATCCACTCCTCTCCCCCTGCAAAAAACATTTTAACCACGTTAAGTAAGTTATGCAAAAATAGCTACCGATCATACTGAACCAACCATAGTTTGACTGCTCTTTACATTAACCCACATACTTCTAGGACAGTTCCTTAACTCGGTGCTTGCAATTTTCTTCGTGTAAAGATTTCTGTACTAAAAGCCCTTCTTTTAATTTGCAAAGCAACAGAGGCAGATTGCTTGGAAATGTCACCCTCACAGATGTATACGACATCTTAAACCACGTACTACTCGTAACCATGTAGAGTTCTGATCACAAGCAGACAGCATCTTCCAACAGTAACACCATTTGGCATCAATTACACAAGATGTGGTTTAAAACGCTTCTTTCCCATTTCTAGTGGAGGTTTAGTCCTCCTTCAGGATGAAATGCAAACAGAAGACCAGGGCCCTCAAAAGCAAGACATCTCTAGAGAACAAATTCTGCAGACGTGGCATGCTCTGCATCTGAGCTCTGCATCATGTCTTCATAATCCATGACCGATTTAGCTCTTTTGTCAGCAGCAAGCATTAAAGAAACCACTTAAATCACCCGTAATTTGAGTAGACCTAGATAGTGCCAGCAAATTCTTGTAGAAAGGATCACGACCTCCGCAATACAGAGCAAATGCACAGCAGAAGGGAGCTATTCACACAGTGTCTGTCAGACAGTGGTAGCAGGTCCCAGTCCCAGTCCAAAATCCTCCAGTCCCACGGAACTCCTAACACAAAGCCCATTACATCACGTTTTTCTAGAACAGAAGACAAGTCCAAATCTCACCCAGAAGTAACTGCATACGTATCAAGACCATGTCTAGCTACTCCAAAGAGCTCTCATTCTCTGAACCCGCTAGTGTCACTTCATAAGAGGAATGGTAAGAAAAAGAAAGGAGGTTTTTGCTACTTTTCAGCTGTAGATGAAGATGAAAACTTGTAAGACTGTGAAAATATTCCCGAGTTATTGGTGTTAGCCAAGTGGCTGCCTCCCTCTCTACGTAACAGACAGTCAATGGAGAGGGAGAAAATTTTGCATGCAGAGAGATTTTATACAACAAAAGATAAGTCACACCATTTTTCCTAGCTGTGATCAAGAATTGGCCATTAGACCAGTAAGTCAATGTCTTGAAAATTAAGGGGAGGTTAAAAAGGAGCATTTAAAAAGCTGATAACCATTTGGAAGGCATGTTGCCTGCAGCATACAGTTCTGGGAACTACAGTACTAAAGCAGTACTATAAAGCTGTCCCTAAAATTGTATTATTTTCAGAATGAAATACGGCCTTACCCCACTGGCAAGCTGCTGACCGTGTTCACGTGCGTGGCACATTTGTTTAGAGGTCGAAGTCTTTGGTACAGACTCTACTGCAGCACAGATGTGAAGTGGCTGGAGACGAAGCGGGTGTTGTGTATTTCCTGGAGCTGTATTTGGTCGACAGGAAGTCTAGAAAAGGCAACAGCTATGAAATCTCAGTGTAGAGTTTCCAGTGCAGAGCAGCACCATAAAGACCCAAAAAAAAAAAAAAAAAAAAAAGCACTGATCAAGATATTTAGAAGTGTGATCCTCAAGTACATTCGGGAAAAGGAGTTTTCTAGTCTGCCTCCAAAGACCCAGACCCCTTTAGGCATCTCACTGAGCATCCAAATACTGGAACATCCAAAATAACTCTTGGCCATAAACACAGGTTTTGCTATTGTCTCTTCACAGTGCAGCCTTGAAGCAGACATAATGAACTCATAGGAACATAATAGTGTGCTATGTTTTGGTGACTTCAGCACATGGACACTGAGAGAATGCATGATAAAAGCATTTTTCTGCCTTTTTTATTTCACCTTTTCCTTGTATACTCTTCAGAATACCAAGGTAAAATGTTAAAACCTAAAAAAACCTGTTTAACTGAGTTAACTCACCATCTTAGAAAAGGCAGGCTTCTTGGATGGGTGTTGATGAGAAGGATGTCCACCATTATAATCAACTACAGGTCTGGGTGCCCTCTGTACGGAGAGGAGAAGGTTATTCAGGACTAAAAGTCTCTCTTCAGTTCTGCACCAATTATCATTATTGAAATGGAGGACCAGTTAAAACTGAACTATATATTTGACCTTCAACTTTAGACTTCAATATCATTGTATTTCAAGAGTATATTAACATTCCTTCTCCGCCTTTAGCAGAGAGCAAGAGGTTTCTGAGCCAGAGCTCCAAAGCAGAGCCTTCTGGAATGAGCTTTAGACTTACTTCACCCCTTCAACTCTCTTTTCTAAAAGACCTCCACTGCTTCCAGGATTTTAGAACACGTGTAAACTTGCCTACAGCCAGAGTACTCATGAACAATACTTAATGCACTGATACCAGCCTAACCTTGGGTGACAAGGCAGATCAAAGGGAAAGATTAAAGCAGATTTATCGCAAAGCACAGCTGTTTTTTTCTAGGTTCTGATGTGCCATTCCTGCAACATCAGCTTCTCAAGATTCCTCTTTAATGACACAATCCTACAAACAGAAAATTGGCCCCAAGGGATGAAGGACGAGGCCCTAATCCGGAACAATCAGGGCAGCCAATGCTCCAGACTTCAGCCCAGCTGTCATGGGTATATGTGCACACTTGGAGCTGTGTGTGCTCACGTTGTGGTCTGTGGGGTGACTGGTGAAACTCATCAGTCGGGAGTGACCGGCTGGGTCTGCAGCCACCAAAGGATGGAGCCCACACCGATTTCTCGGACCAGGTGGTGGGTGTGGCCAGCGCATACATCTGGCATCTTCCACTGATCTTCTGGACTTTTCCACCTAAAAGAAGAGAAATTTACGTCCATGAGGTACCAAATGCTCTAGCAGCAATGTTTGAGCTTGCCTTCCATCTGTCTGTCTATGACGATCAGCTTGCCTGGACCCAATGGAACACCTGGTTAAGGAAGGAAAGGAAATCACAGGGAGAATGAGAGAGGGATGAGGGATTAGCTACCAAGAAGAAAAATTAACTGTCCCAGCCGAAACCAGGACAGCAGGCTCTCCCTTACGCTTCTCACTGAAGAGAGCGGTTTTGGTTTATGTTCCAAAATGTTCCAAGTCCAGACTCCCTTAACAGGGTGCCTTAATCGCTGCTGCCACTGTGGTGACTTTCTACCAGCAGCAGTTCAGTCAGCAAACAATGCCCTTGCAAACAGCATAGTGATCAGTGTTTTTCATTAAAATCTCCTCCTTTCTTTACCTAATGAACTGCTCATAAATGTATTATTTAAAATTAAAAAGATTTGACACTGTTTTTCAACTGCTCAAAGAAGCAGCTAGCTTCTCAATGCACTCTTCTTGATGCATGCAGGCTCCTATTAAAGAAATAAGATGTTGAGCACATTTCAGCCAAAATGAGAACAACTTTTCCCATATGAGTCCAAGTGACTTCATAGGGAAAAGAAGCACTGAATTCTGTGGGATTTCCATGACTCTTAACAACTACAGAATCAAGCCCCACTTACATGACACTAAAGTGAAGACTTCTGAACCCTCTTTTCATTACTTACATGCTGGTTCTGCTAAATAGCATGTGGAGAGGGCAAGCAACTAAAACTATGAGCTCAGTGCACAGCAGCAGTCAAAAGCACATAGCGTCTAGAATTACTAGAAGAACTGCAACACGTATCTTGAATTATTCATCCTGTTCTGGTTCCCCATTTCAAAACAGAAACAGTAGAACTAGAAAAGGTTTTAAAATGGCAACAGTAATGAGAAGCCTGGAATGGCTCATGTATGAAAGCTTCAATAGACTGAGGGTCTTCAACTTGGAAAACTGAGAAGGAATATGCAAAAAAGGTATGTAAAACCACAAATGCCTTGGAACAGGAGAACAGTTATTAATTTTTTTCACAATGAGAACAATGGAGCATCAAACAGAATTATCAGACAGCAGATACTGTTATCCACTGTTAACCATTGTGCAGAAATGCAACTAAGTACCATTTCATACAACTCCTAATTAAATTCCACAACTGAGAACACCACAGAACCAAAAGAGTGAGTAGACTCAACAGGAATTACGTGCATGAATGGAAGTTCCTGAACTGCTGGACAGAGGAAGAAGATGTAACCTAGGGCAGGATCATCCACTATCTGCCTGTTTCTTGTACTTTTCCCATAAACACCAGAGACAGAACATTGGGCTCAACAAGCCTCTGGTCTGGCTCATGGCTGTTATTTAACACAGGGCAAAGCTGCCACGTCCCATCAGTATTCAGCAGCACTCAAGCCTTACCTTCATTTTCAGCAATCGCTCCTTCCTCACAGAATTTTCAAGTTTACTTTTTTTTGCCAGCTGATGATGACGCTATCAATGTAAGAGAGAAACCTCATTAGTGGCCATTACGAGATGTCAGTGCATGTAACAACACTTACTCCTGTTCCACTCACCACTTGCCTGCTCCCTGGTTGTTACCCTCGATGAGCCCTACTATAAAACTACTGCTGATTCAATCCATTTGCATTACACCTGTGTGTATTAACAATGGCAAGGGAACAACTGAGCATTTGTGGAGTTGTAGGGATCAGCTCCATTCTTCATACCTAACGGGAATGTGCGCAAATTTGGTACTCAGACAAAACATATAACCATGTTCAAACTATTTTGTTTTGATTAAAATTTTTTTAAGTAGACTAGCCCTGTGAATATCATCCCGTAATCTGATGACTGCGGAAGAGCAGTAAGCGAGCCAGGACAGCGTACACTCTAATGAGAGTATGGTTTAACAACTAGAGGCCAGTGGAGGTTTCATGTGAGGGACATCAAGCACGACAACTGTCCTTCTTCCCAGCAGGACAGAGCCTTTCAGGGGACCATGAGGGCACAGCTACAGAAAACAGTCCAGCACCAGTTAAGAGCCACTGGCTGTCAGCAGGGCAGTATCTGAAGAGGCTTACACATCACCAGTAAATGCATACCTCCATGTCAAAGACCTTACGAAATATGGTGCAAGCCAGGCACTCCTGTACATATCTTTGGTGATCCTTCCTCCTAGTATTTAACTGGTATTCTTTCTCAGGTATTATTCTTCCACTCCTCGAGATCTGCCATAATCAAATATAAATGTAACTAAAAGGCACAAGACAGGATAAAGTAGTATGTTTGTAAACAGAGTGCAACTTCCCAGAAGGACTACTTTCTCTTCCTGGTTAGCTACCACCTCTGCTTCTGCCATGGTGCTGGAACTCACCCTCCCAGCACAGAGCTGTAGCTTCTTTGACCCCATGGGCCCCATTAGCCAACTGAAGAGAGCAGGAGAGTACTTCCTAACAGCCGAGGGCTCAGCCTAAGTCAGTGGGAGGGAATTAAACACTTGCCTGCCTACCACCTAAGGGCTGCATCCACCTGTGCTGAACAGAGGCACACCTAGGACTGCGTAAGTGCTTTTAAAAATGTTCAGCGCTTTCACCTTTACCAAATCCTTCAGTTTTCCTATTTAAACAATTAGTATAGTCAAAGATGCTTAGATTTCACGGTTTTAATAAACTAAGAGAATCAATATGACTCTGTATATTTGCAAACTGAAGCATTTTGCAGAGGCAGATGCCAATGAGCAAAAAGAAAGATGGAGTAAAAACATAAAAACATTCTGAATTTATCAAAAGCTCTCCATGACATATCTTCTTCTGCCAGGTTGTGAAACACAAGCCGATTGACAAACATTCTCACATCACCGTACTTGTGCAGTAATACAGTGACATAACATACTGAAACTGCATTACTGAGCAGAAGCTTAGGGCTAAGCCAAGGCTCTCCAATGTCTACATACATCATCAATCCCTGCCAGCCACTGTTCCCAGTTTCATGCAGCTAAGCCTTAGGACTGTTGCATTGCAGAGGGTGCAGTGGAAGCCTAAATGTGATATCCTATGGAGTACGGCCTCCAAATTTCTCATGTGCAATCCTCACCCACCAGCAGCCCACATGCCAGCATCTCCGTATCCCCAGGTGGCCCTTGGACCTTGCTGTCCCGAAACGCACTCAATGCCAGCCACAGCATTTCCTCAGCTCTCACTCATGTCTTCAAAAGCCACTGAGCACATGGAGCCAAGCTCCGTTTTACCTCTCCTTCTGTCATTCTGACCCCAGTAGCACAGCCTTATGCACCACAGCCCCGTGTCCCTGCGATATCTCGCTGGCCAGCGGTAGATAATCACACAGTGGGAAATGCTCTGATTAAACAGACCTGCCCTCAGCCATGGTGTGATCATGTAGCTTTGATCTGGCACAGCATAATTGCATGTGTTTGGCTAGCTGGTCAAATTCTTACCAGTGACAACACATACCTCTAACAAATAAACAACAGGACTGTCAGTTGTTTGATTTGTGCAATATTAAGAGAAAAAAATAATTCTGTTATTTTTTTCTCAGAAAAGGAAACTTTTCCATCTCACCAGTCCTGATCTCTGAAGATGCCGTCTTATCCTGGCATTGCTGAAGTATCCAGCCAAGTGTTTGTCTGTAAGGCTGTTGTAGGTTGGCAGACATCTGAAATAAAATCAATACAGATGCATATAACCCCCCTGACAGCCAAATTATTACAGCTTAACCTGTAAAGACCCACCCAACAGTGTGCTGCACGAAATGCCACCTTGATAAACCCCGCCCAGCATTTTCCCAGATAAATGCCTATCAGCTTATGTAAAAGCAACATCTTACTGCCTTCAGAAGGCTCCTATCAGAAACAACCAGCTCCTGCCTGAGCCACCACAGCTCAGCACCCAACGCGTGCCACCCCGAGGCACAGGGCCCAGCAGAGCCCAGCCCTGGGGGTCTCCTCCAAGACCAGCTCCCGCAACAGCCCCCTCGGGGAACAGCCCGGGACCCTCGGCAGGCCGGTGCCACGCCACCCCGCCCTCGGGGCTGGATCCCTGGCAGAGCCACGGGCACCCTGGGGCGGACAGCAGCGCAGCCTCCCGGCCATCCCCGGGGAGAGACGTCCCAAAGCTCCTGCTCCACCACCCCACCGCACCCCGCGCTGCCCTGCCGCCTGCCCGCCGCTGGCCGGGACGGCAGCGACACAGCTCCTGGCCGCTTTTGCAAAGGCCCCGGAGAATCACCTGGGGGGGGAGGCACCTCTGGAGGCCATCTCGTCTGACCTCCGGCTCCAGGCGCACCACTTACCAGACCTCACCTGCACTGAGGGGCTTTCCTGTGCCCTCTGTTGCCAGCTCGCAGGCATTATTGTCTGGTATCTAACAGAAGGAATGGCTCTCTTCACTCAACCTATGGTGGCAGAAACCGCTAGCACCAGAACATATTTTGAAGACAGGACACTCTTTCCACAGTACTTTCACTGACTTGAAAGTTAGCACACACGTTAACTTGGGTGCAAATCTTGGTTCTGATGAAGACTACCTATTTGTGTTTTCAGCTAAAGCCTCCTTCAGCATTCGTGTTTCCATCCATTTCTTCACGGCATTTCCTTCTTCCTCAATGCTCCCACCATCAGATGGGCTGCATATCAACTTCATCACTTGGAACACCTACCCAGAAAACTAAGTGGCTTCCACTTCAGCTGTCAAAAAATACACAGAAGTCTTCCGGCCTGTTTCGAACCATCTTCTCAACTGGGATTCAGCTACGTCTCTGTTAAAATGTTGCCTGGCCAACCACTGATTTGTTCATGAACAAAAAAGCCTGTTTCAAGAAACAGTTCTTAATTTGGCCTTTGCACCAGCAGAACTCACAAACCACTCGGGAAATCTAATCCATGACAGCAAGATTAGAACTGTCCTGCCTCTTTCAGGGACCGTTTATTTGAACACAACAGTCACTCTGGAATATTTATTCAAATAAATGGCCAAGAATGCTTGTCCCACAAACATACTCTTAAATTCAATTGCACAAAACTTGTACGGGGCAAGATTCATCACTCTGGTGGTATTTACAGGCTAGAAAGTATCTGTTACTGTAGGATGGTTTTGCTGGCTGTCACCATATGGCAGCAGTTTGAAGTGCAGCTTGTATCAACAACAATACTTCTCCTTCTCCCCTTCTAAATGCTACCTTTAACCAGAAATTATCAGATCTACTCAATGTGATCAATTTGCTCAAGCTGAACAAAAAGCAAAGGCACGCCTCAGGAAGCCAAAGAGTTTGTGCAAAAGGCGAGCAAGCACACTCCTCCCTCCGTCTGCACGGGTCCTGGCACGCTATCGCCCTGGCACTCGGCAAGCTGCCACCAGCTCACCACCTCGGTCCTTCTCTGGAGACCATGCTCTGTGCGGGAAGGACCGGGACGAGTCCCCGTCCTGGCCAGGGCAGCAGAAGGCAGCTGAGTGGCAAGAGAAGTGCCTCTCTCAAGACCCCAGCCCCTCCTGGGCTGGAAGGCACCGAGCCCGGGCCACTCACAGCCCCGGTCAGCACCCACCTGCGCCGGCCAGAGCTGAAGACCAGCACCTCTTTCACCACACCGCGCTCCTCGGAGTTCAAAGAGCCCAACAGACAGCACGGCGACGGCTCTGAAGAGCTGCTCAGCCCAGGAGGCTCCCAGGACGACGCTCTTGGGCCGGACTGCTTCCCGTGAGCCTTCCCCCCCTTTAAAGTCCACTGACGCAGGGTGCGCAAGTCCTTCGGTAGCCAGAGCAATAAAAATGAAATGCAAGGGCCTCTCAAGTCTTTTCCAGTTCCCAAGTCAATATACTAAAGATTCTCTTTAATGCATACCTTGAACAATCCAAAGTCAAGGAATCGCTTCTATCTACTGGGGCAGAACTGTAAGGCCAACAAACACGGAGAACCAGCCCACGCGGCCCATCCCAGCAGGGCCCTGCCCTGCTCTACCCAAGGAACGGCATGCATCCCTGGAAGGCCAACACAGGTAAACCATCACGGCTCCCAAAGACCAGAGATTCCAAAAACTGAACCTAGCATACAAGAGTTGAACACAAAAACTAAAGCATCCATCACTATCAGATGCATTTTTACATAGTTCCTAGCACGACCTCCAGAAAACTTCACCCTCCTGAAAACAGGACAAAGAACAAAGGAAGTGACAGTAGGTTGAAGTTTTTATACTCTCAATCCATACACATTTATAAAATTTAAACACTCATATACATAATATTCAGCCTGACCTTCGGGCTCTAGGCAGGATACGTTTTAATTACACAGCAAGAGATTGAACTCCTTTGTTTCCTTGGGCTTTAAATGACACTCTACCTCTCTTACGTATCTTTCAATGGGATAATTCAAGATAAATGTCTGTTGCTAGGCTGAGTTACAACACACAAAAGTAAACTCAAGGAAAGGCAGATTAAAAAAAAAAAAAAAATCAAAAAACCCCCAAGAAATCATGGATTTACAGGAATTTTATCTGGGGTTTCACAATAATCTCATGGGCAGCCTATCAACAATGAATTAGACTTTAAACAAACAATTTAGCTTACCCTGTTATGCATGCTGATTAAACACTGGTACTACAGCAACTCTTCTACATTACTTTTTTAATCCACTGTTTGCATACACTTTTGAAACCACCAGACTACATCAACTGTGCTAAGTACTGACTTATGGTATCACCTGGCAATTGCACATGGAGGCAGAGGAGAAAATCAATCCAATTCCTTTTCATTTACTTCCTTCCATCTTATATTTCACGGACCATATAACTAGTTAAAATGCAACTCCCACCTGAGCAGAGGGACGTAACGACTTCCGTTTCAAAAAAGTCTCTGTACACATATTTTCTCATTTAAATTACAGACAAGCTGGTCCTCAAAACCGCTGAACGAAATTCAAAGTTCAAAAGGGTACTGGAGGAAACAAGGAAATGTCTGGAGCCTGAACCGAAACCCATTAAACCCTTGGAAAGAACGCAACCGGAGGCAGCGGGCATCGGCAGAGCCACGCTGCCAAGGGAAGCCCAAGCTCTCTGCCCAGGTGAACGCCCCTGTTGTGGCAAAAACCAGCGCAGAGCCGCACAGATACCCCGGGCACCCACACAATCAGATTCCAGTCCCACGCAGCAAGCAGGGGCTGGCCTGGCAGGCCTGTGCTCACCTGCAGCTTCGGCCAGTTTTCCTGCTTCTTCCAGCTGACCAGTTCTCCGTCCCCCAGCAGTTTAGGCACACTGAGCTGGGAGTGGGCCATACTGGTACTGCGTGTGGGCCTGGCCCAAGCGCCCCCAGGGTCAGACCCGGAGGTGGTTGGGCTCCGTCTGGGTGGAATGACCTGCTCAGCCCTCACAGCTGACCCTGTACGCAGGAGCTCGGGCTGCAGACCTCCCGCAGTCTCTTCCAGAGTGGATTATATTTTGTGATCCTACAACTCACTTGGCTGCTGGACTAGGCTAGCACCGTTCAGTGGTTTCCAGGAGGGAAACGGGTGAGGAGCACATGTTGGCCTCTCCCCATCCCCTTCAGCAAGTTCCCTGTATGATACAACGCTGTACTTTTCACCGTTTCCAGTGTCAGGTGCAGGCTGGAGGTATTCCTTGAAGTATCTGTGAACTGAATGCAATCAGACACGGCATAACTGTTTCCCAAAAACTGAGTTAGTCCAGAAGTGCCTTATGTGGCAACTATAGTGAAACAATCTTCCAAGAGTAAGTCTTTAAGTCTTTTGTTCAGAGTTCTGTATACCTCTTCACAAAAGAGATTTTCATGCACAACGCTTTTTCAAAGATTTTCAGATAAGCACACCGTGCTACAGGTGCCGATCCTGAACACAACTAGAGACGGAAATGGGAGCCAAAAGACACCTACTCTGCTACCGATTGTTGGATGGCCATGAGCAACTTACAGCACTATTTCCTTACTTGGAGCATCGCCCGCTGAAGCAGGGCACATTAAATTTTGTCCCGCAGGTCTGCAGAAATTCCCAGCGTCTCAGTGCTTGTGACTCACATCGGCTGGGGGAAGCCTGGGTGCTCCAAACCCTCACGACCTGACGACGATCTGAAGTCAGACAGCAGCCGCGGGGACCACGCGAGGCCCGCGGCCCCACCTCCCCGCGCACCGCAGGAGGGTCCCTCCCCCGGCGGGGGACCCTCGGGCGCAGGGGACTGGGGGGAGCCGGCAGCTCCCTCCCGGCGGGCTCCCGAGCTGCCGGGGTGGGGGCACCCCGACCCAGCGCTCTGCCCGCGTCGCGGCGCGGGGGGCGCACCCCCGGGTCGGCAGCGAGCCCGCGGCACTGAACGCCCGCCGCGGCCCCCGCGCAGCGCTGAAGGCCGCCGAGGGCAGCGCCGCCGCCCGCTCCGCTCCGCTCCGCGCCATTCCGGGCGGTCCGCGGGGCCGCCCGCGGGCGCGGTGCCCCGGGCACACCCAAGGGGTGACCCCGAGCCCCGCGGCCCCCACGGCGGGTGCCCCGCGGGGGGTCCCGGGGCCTGCCCCGCCGCCACACTCACCCCGTCTGCGGGCCGCTCATGGCGGGCGGCGGCGACGCGGGGAGGAGGGACGCGGAGAGGCGGCGGGAAGCGCTGAGGGGAAGCGGCGGCGGGAGGCGAGGACGAGGCGCCTGTCGGTGCCCGCCGCGTCCCCGGGTGTCGCCAGGACACGGCGGGGACGCCGAGGGGCGGGCGGCGCTCCGCCTTGCCCGTGACGTCAGCGCCGCCCGGGTGAGGACGACGCGGGGCCCCCGCGCCCCGGCCGCGCACCGGGCCCCGGCCGCGCACCGGCACGGGCCTGGCGGCCGGAGCGCTCGGGCAGCGGGGAACTGCCTGGCCGGCCGCGCCCCCAGAGCTGCCGTCGGCAGCTCCGGGTCCCAGCGCCGCGCGGTGACGGGCGCCGTCCCCCGGGGGTCGGGGCTGGTCCCGGCGCTGTTTCGCATCTTTGCTGGGACACGGGCAGCGGGACCGAGGCCCCCCCAGCAAGTGCCCCCGCGACCCCGAGCTGTGCGGTGGGGGGCACGCTGGGGGCAGGGGGGGCACCCCGAGGGACCTGGGCAGGCTGGGGAGGGGGCCCGGGCAAACCTCATGGGGTTCAACAGGGGCAAGGGCGAGGTCCTGCCCGGGGGTCGGGCTGGGAGAGTTGGGGGGGTTCAGCCTGGAGAAGAGAAGGGTCCGGGGGGACCCTGAGAGTGGCCTCCCAGGGCTTAAAGGGGGGGCAGGAGAGGTGGGGGGGGACTCTGGGTCAGGGGGTGGGGGTAGGACGAGGGGGGACGGTTTTGCACTGAAAAAGGGCAGATTTAGGTGAGATCTGAGGCAGAAATCCTTCCCTGTGCGGGGGGTGAGGCGCTGGCCCCGGGTGCCCAGAGCAGCTGTGGCTGCCCCCTCCCTGGAAGGGTTCAAGGCCAGGTTGGACGGGGCTGGGAGCCCCCTGGGCTGGGGGAAGGGGGCCCTGCCCCGGGCAGGGGGGGGCACTGGGGGGGCTTCGAGGTCCCTCCCAACCCAAACTATCCTATGATTCTATGATCTACCCACACTTTATATTGAATTGTCTTTTGTAAAGGAAGTAACTATCAAGATCAATATTCTCTTGACTTTTTATCTTTCCAATCCTGTAATTCAAGTCCCATTAACTTACTGTATCATGCTGTAGCACACAAAGAAGTCGGGAATACACACAGCGGACCATATGATTACAGTGAAGGGGGGGATACTTCTAATGACTAGAAAGCATAGGCAGCATTTCTTTTGGGCACCATGAGATTAACAAATAGCACCTGCTTTTCAGAACAATTCCACTCTTTTCTGTTTCAGAAACATGTACAGCAGCAGTTTCCAGACCACGGCATGTGTACACAACTGCACACTTTGAACCCCAAACCTTGCCAGCCTACGCAAAGGCCAGCGCACCAAGTCAGAGCCTGGGTAACCACTCCCATCACCCATGCAGCACCAAGCAGACTACCACGGGGAACCGCTGCTTCAGGAACCCCATCTGGTTAAATGAGGACAAGTTACCCAAAAATAAACAACCTAATTCAATTGTCTATGATCCTCGTCCAAGGGGACAGCACGTTCTGAAAGGAGAGCCGAACCAAGGACTCTAGGTTGACGGATTCTCTGGATGGGTGGCTTGCACAGATCAGATACACCTGAAAGATTAGCCAGAAATGTGACACGTAACGGCTCCAAGAAATTCAGCTGAAGCAGCAGATGAAGAAGTCACTAGCCAAGGTGATTTTTCCTCCACTGGACATTAGTGTCTCTCTGCCAGAGAGCAACACAGCCTGGAACACCCAGGGACATCTCAACCACTGCAGGTCACAGTGAAGGTCGGTTTGCACTAACATGCAAGGCTTGGACTGCTTACAGCTGAGTCACGGGCAAACCGATGCCCCCCACCTTCAGCATAACAGCGGTGGCGAGATCTTACCCTGCTACATACATACACCCACAGCGGGAGCCCAACGCTGTTTCTGCAGCAGCGCCAGCAGTACAGCCCTGGTCTCTCAAGCACATGTCTCCTGCCCACAGCCTGAAAGCAACCACTACAGCTTCCACACTCCTTCCTGAACTTTGTGATCAGTGCCACGTCGTTATTTTTATTCACACCACATTTCACAAAATTAAAACCACCACTCCCATTTGTATGATACATCAAAAATGAACAAAAGAATTAAATGTTATATTACTTTTCTTCACAAAGCAGCCGAAGTTATCCCATCTTATTCTGCTAGGTTACCTTTGTGGAGAGAAACCAGCAATGTCATAGAACTACTCTGACACCTTCTGGCGAGAAACCCCGTAACAAACACCGTCCCTTGTTAGCAGCGATGCGCACACAGACAGAAGAACTGCTCTGAATTTTGTCTCTAAGCATTAGCTACAATGCAGACACAGCACTAAGCAAGAAAGGAGTCATTGTAAATCATAAGCCTCTCATTCTTATAATACCCTCTGGCCAAAGGCCAAATTAAAAAGAATTAAGTATTTAAAAACATACAAAGGATAAAGAAACCGTTTTTTTTTTCATATGAATATCATACCTCCACAATTATATCCATCGTTAACTGGTACTCTTAATATTAAGGTACTAAATAGCAGGTTAAGAGATGTTTTACTTTTTCTAACAGTGCTGTCAAGTGGAATTACAGACTCCCTGCATGCCATCACTGCCTCAGCCTGCACTGTGTCTGAATGAATAGCAATAATCAGCATCTTTTACCAGAATAACCAGCTAAAGAACTACCCACTCATATCACTTACACGAGGTTAATCATTCCTAAACCTTCACATTCGGACTAAGTAGAAATGCAGATCCCTGTTCCTACGGAAAGGGCAACACACAAGGAGACCAGCTTCTATCCACTGGGGCATCTGCACAGCCTCGAGGTATGAAGTACCCTCCTGCACCTGCGGGGCACCAAGTTAATGCGTACTACAGCTGAGTCTGCCTAATCCTTCTTCCCCAGCCACTATTTTCAAAAGCTTTTATTGAAATATTAGCTTGAAATCATTAACTCCAGAAACACTCAACCTTCTTCCTGGCAAAACAATCCATTTTAATGCAATGGTTTTAAGGAACAATTAAATGACTCAGTAGAACAGCAAAATGACCTCACATTTACATTTGCACAGAACAGTACGGTGGTCTAGCTACTTTAGAAGATTGAACTCAAGAAGTTCACAAAACCAATTACGTAACAAACTGCTTGAAAGAAATGAGGACTTAACTCAGTGATCCAGCATATTCCTTTACTCCTGTGTTTAATAACGAGACTTAAAGCCATCATATCTTAACATAATCCACCCCCACCAGAAATACAAATACTTACTTAAACCCTGCTGAATGAATATTGTTGAAAAAAGTACGTATTCCTTTGTAAAGATGTGTACCTATCTATGGTAAGTTAAAAAAAATTATTCACCTACAAGTTTAAATTATCACTTAAGTAGCAATCCCAAATAAAATTAACATGGCATTAAAAGAGACCTTTCCACACCTGAAAAAACCCTGACATTGAAAACCTGAATCTTGAGTTTAGAATGGTCTCCTATCTACTAAGAAGTTAATTTAAAACACAGGAGATGCACTTCCACATGGACCGACTTGGTGCTAGACAAAATCTTCATTACATTACCTAATCCTGCATTAGAAAAACATTCCTTCCCTATTTGACACTAAGACCTTGCTCTTTTATCATCAGTGTGAATTGAATTAGTTTCGTAAGCCTCACTGTAAAGACCTTCTTTCCTTTTTCATGATACGTGTCTGGTTATTGCTCACAAGTTCATATTCTTGAAAACCATACTAATTTCCTCCCCCAGCGCACTACAATTTGCACAGTATTTGTCTCCAGGATGTCACCTGTCTCAGACCTGAGCCTCAGTTCCCAGTTTAGAGAAGTGATGAAAATACGACCCAGTGAGACCTTACTAGTGCCTTTAATGAAAACATTAACCTAGGTGTAACTGAAGGACAGATGCCACAGACATATCTGTCACCAGTCTTCCTTATCATTGCTTGCTAACCCAAAAGTGAGTGTGAGCATTAGAATTCATTTTTAAATGTAGAATACAACAAAGATTAGTACCTATGCTCAGTTATTTAGAAAAATATCAATGCTTATTATTTATCTCACATTTTCTCAAATAGAAAATAACAACATGGAACTGGGCAAAGAACAGTTACCAATAGTTTCATAACTATGCTAGCTAGATTTGAGGTAGCATGAGCACACATACTTCCATGGGTATCCTGGGAAGAATAAAAGGGATGCTGCCCAGATGTGTAGGAATGGGATTAGAAAAGGTAAGGCACAGCTGGAGCATGAATTTGGCAAGGGATGCAAAGAATAGTAAGAAGAGCCTTTACAGGTAAGTTAGCCAGAAAAGGAAGATTAAAGAAAATGTACCACCTCCAGTAAACAAGACATGAGAACTGGTGACAACTGACATGGCAAAGGCTGATGTTCTTAATCACCTCCCCCGGGAGGCCGGGCTGAGAGAGTTGGGGGGTTCAGCCTGGAGAAGGGAAGGCTCCAGGGAGCCCTTCGAGCGGCCTTTTGATACATAAAGGGGACTTACAAGAATGAGAAAGACTTTTTACCAAGGCCCCTATTGACAGGACACGGGGCAATGGTCTTAAACTGAAAGAGGGTAGGTTTAGGTCTGGGCCTAAGGAAGGAATTTTTTACAATGAGGGGGGTGAGGCGCTGGCCCCGGGTGCCCAGAGCAGCTGTGGCTGCCCCCTCCCTGGAAGGGTTCAAGGCCAGGTTGGACGGGGCTGGGAGCCCCCTGGGCTGGGGGAAGGGGGCCCTGCCCGGGGCAGGGGGGGGCACTGGGGGGGCTTTGAGGGCCCTTCCAGCCCAAACCAGCCTGTGATGTCAAATTCTATCTTGGGTATTAGTTTCCCCTGCATCACAAGGCCACACCAGCAGAGAAAATTTGCTGTTTCCACATCAGCCAAAAGATCTACAAAAATTAAAGTATATGCAACTCTGCTCATTACAAAAAGAAAACAGATTGTTAATTAATGTAATTAATTAATGTAAGTTAGCATTTGCTGTTACTGACAAACCTGATCAGAAGTACGTTCCATAACATACATTCCATGAATCATGTAAGCAAAGGTGCAGTTAGAACATCTACAAACTAAATAGTAAAAGAGTTTATGGAATGAGCACCATCTTTCCTAGGGCACCAGTACTGTGAATAATGTCTTCGTGAGCTTTAGCTACTTTCTCCAGTGGATATTCAGAGCCTACAACTGGTTTCAGCCAGCCAGCTTCTATGCCATCAAGGAGTGCTGTTGCACATTCATGCCTCTCCTCCTGCATGTAATAAAGACAGCTTTTACCACAAGGTCTTTACATTTTAGAAAAGCATTGACTATTTATGCAAGTCTTAAACAAAATTTCACAACCCAAAAATATTTTAAGATGTTCTGAGATTAAATCAAAACGTAAAGGAATGAAAAAACAAGTTAGTTACAGTGAAGTCATGCTTTTATCCCTACGAATTATTTCAAATGGAAATAAAGAGGTGTTGGAATA